AGGAGCCCACAGATTATATACTAGAGAGTTTTCTCTTTTTTATCAGGGGAATATTTTTATTTAAATATCTTAGTCATAAAATTTCTTTATTCTTCATTGTAAGATTTTTACCATGCTTATATCAGGAAATATGACTAACATTGTATTTCTACACTATTCACCCCATTCTAGTCACCTTTCCTTAATCAAGAAGAGTGAAAATTCACATACCCCTAGTGGGTCTGCATTTAATAACTTCTTCTATTAGTCTAACTGCTGCTACTGATAGTGAGAATGAACATTTGATGGCAGGTATAGTTTGCTCTCTTTTTATGCCAGCTTCCCAATTATCTAACAGGCTATAATCACCATTTCATACTCAATAAACTTGTGGTTACTGTATCCTACATAGCAATCTAAACTAGCTTGCAGAGGAAAATTATTGTCATATTCTCCAGAAAACAGGGTAGAATAGTTAGAAGCAAGGCTCACAGGAGTTTGCCATGGTAGTTAATGCAATCTTTCCATGCTCTCATGGCAATAGCTCCCTGCTTCCTAGACTCTCAAACTGGCACCCCTTAAGGAAATACCTAGTTAAGCCTCACTCTAGAGTGTCACCCCTTAAAGAAATCCCTAGTTAGGCTTCACTTCTATTAGGCACTGTTATTGAGCTATTATGATTCAAAAAACAAATAGCACAGAATTAGGAGACAAGCAATCTGGCCATATTGCTCTGCTATTAAGTAGTTGCTCTATTGTGGACAATCACTTACATTTTCTAATAGTTTAAAAACTATTAAAATAAAGGAGTTAAATACTTAGTAAAGTATCAATAGGAAACTAGGCTTATTAATAATCCATCATTTCCAAGGATAACACAAGCTAAACTTCAGTTTAGTTCATGAGAATTAATATGTTACCAAAGCAACTTTGTTTTAAATCTAATAAAAAAAAATCAAAGGGGGAAAAAAAAACCTGTCAAATACTATATTTCATCAAATCCAAGGTGGTATCAATTTTAAAACATATTATGTATAACATTAAGAAAATGCTGCCAATTATGCAAGCCACCAATTATAATACAACTTCTAATCAAAGAAATACAAAAAATTGAAAAGTATATTTGGAACTGATGTATATGGCGTGGCAGTGCAGATCAATGGTAGAGTTCTTGCCTAGCACGCTCAAGGTTCTGAATTTGATCCCTAGCACTGCAAAAAAAAGGAAGAAAGAAAGAAAGAAAGGAAGGAAGGAAGGAAGGAAGAAAAAGATACTTTTAACTTTAGATAAACATTCATTATATAATTTAAATAATTAAAATTATTAAGCCAGATTCTGACATGGGACTCACTGAAAATCTAAAACCATGTTTCCACTAAGATTATACTTCAATATATTATGAAACCATAAAGTGAAAATTGTTATAACTTCAAGAATAGAACAAAATGCAAATAGGTTAGAACACAATAAAACTGGATTCCTCAGTACACAATAGCATCAGTATATATTCAGGAACACAGCCTGTCTTCAAAGTTCTACTGGGCAAGTATTTAATGTAGCATAATTTGTTTTACTTTTATCAAACACATCAGAAGCAATATAATTTAAGTAAACTTAACAGTTAAGACATCACAGTCTTCTATGATGATTAACAGTCATTACTTCAGGTTGTCAAATAAATTGTTCATATTAATGATAAACTAACTCATATAAAGTCCACTGACAACTAAAAAAAATGTTTTAAAAAGGGTACATTTAAATTAAAGAAACAGAACATTTATAGAACTGGAAGAGAGCTGCAGACTACTAGTTCTTTCCCTTCATGCAGATGGTCAACCAAATCTATGGGAGGACACAAGAGAAAATTTAAATTCTGAAACTGTATAACCTTGGAGTGAGGATTATTTTTTAACCTCAGAAAAAGAGAGGTGAATAAAAGAAGATATAGGGGGACTATTCCTATATTACACAGAATCTGTAAGTGAATATTATTTTTCTCTCTCAATGTTCCTGAATAATTTGATTTTAAGGTGATCAAAAAATATTTGATAATTTATTTGAAAATAAATGTTATTATTAGAAAATATATAAAACTCACAAATGAAGAGTGATTCCCATATCTCTTAATTCCTTCACAGATAACAGAGGAGAGATTATATCTTGTCCAAATCTGTCATAAACAAGAACCTTTAAAGAAAAAAAAAAAAACAAATGTTTTTAACAACATCATTATTAATGAATAATCAATAGGGAACCAATATTAAGATGATGTTGTAGTAAATGTTATATTTGTCTCAATTTAATATTTTCCAACATTATTTATCAAAACATCTACCCATGAAGTAATATTAAAAGCATTACTGCTTAGACTCAAATAAATCAATAATTATATAATTTTCTTATATTTTTTCTAACCTCCCCCCAACAATAACCTCTCCAAGAGACTATGAAATCTTATTTTAATCTTTATAAAGGACTTACAACATAAGCAAACTTGCACACTCCTCTGCTTTTTTCTGGTTCACATAGATACTTTCTAAAAATGATAATGTAGTGGCCAAGGTGGCACATGCTTGTAATCCCAGCCAATCAGGAGGCTGAGGGAGGAGTATTAAAAGTCTGAGCCAGCTTGGGCAACTTAAAAATACCCTGTCTTGAAAATAAAAAAGGGATGGGGAATGTAGCTCAGTAGTATAGCACCCCTGGTTTTGATCTCTGTAATAAATAAAATAAAAACTCCAACAAACACCCAAAACAAAAAACAAAACAAAAAGTAGAAATTAGCCACTTTTAAAACCAATATGTTACTAGTCCCACTGTCATAAAGAAAATTTGATAACTTAGGTGTCTCAGGTAAATAAAGCATTCACTTAAAAAATTAAGTCTCTAAAGAGTACTTGATAGACTTCCTCTATCAAATGCATTCCCCATTCTAAAAGTATTAAAACTGATACCTTTGAGGAATGATTAAAACTACAACTGGGTCTTTTAACTTAAAATTAAAAGAGAACTTCAACTGGTGTTTTCCACAACTACTTTAATAATTCTTCACAGAGAAAGAAATTGCTACTGAGAATGAAATGAGCTATTATAAAAACAGTTTTCTTAAATGCTAGGATTTTTTTTAGAGAAGTTCAAACTCTTTCTGCCATAGTTATAAGAGGTTGGATGTTGTGGATCTCAAAAGTCTTCTCTTTAAATCTCAATATGCATTAGTTTTCCCTTATTTGCAATTTTACTTTCTGCAGTTTTCATTCCTGCAGTCAAATGGGGTCAGAAAATATTAAGTGGAGCCAGGTGTGGTGGCACACACCTATAATTCCAGCATCTGGGGAAGCTGAGGCAGGATGACTGTGAGTTTATTTTGTAAATAAAATTTACAAAAAGGGCTGGGGATGTGACTCAGTGGTTAAGTGGCTCTGTTCAATCCCTGGTACCAAACAAACAAAAAAGTGGAAAATTCCAGGAAAACCCCCCACAATATGTAAGTTTTAAATTGTGTACTGTTCTAAGTAGCAAAATGACATTTCATGTATCCTGTTGTATCCTGCCCAACTCTCACAATGCTGCTGTTCTATACTGCTTAAGACATGAATCACCCCTTTGTCCAAATGCATCCATGTGGTATGTATTACCTGTTTAATAGTCACTTTTCAGCTGACTTGGTTATCAAATCTTGTCACAGTATCACAGTGCCTGTTTTCAAATAACCCTTATTTTACTTAATAATAGCCCCAAAGCTAAACAGTAATAGTGCTGGAAATGTTATTACAGTAGATTGGTATAACTGCTATTTTTACTAGTTATTGTTGTTAATCTTTCTGCACCCAATGTGTAAATTGAACTTTACCATATGTGTATATATATAGGAATAGAACATATATGTCTAGTCATTCTTGGGTACCCTTGGGGGATTGATTCCAGGATCCTCTACGGATACCAAAATCCTTGGGTGCTCAAGTACCCTACATAAAATGGCACAGTTTTGCATATAATCCACACAACACTCCTGTATACTTTAAAGCTACATAAACAGTTGCTATACTATTTTGTTTAGGGAATAATGAAAAAGAGTTTGTACACGTTTAGTATAGACAAAATCAAAAAAATTTTTTTTTGGATTTGTGGTTGACAGAATCTAATTGAATCCATGTACACAGAACCCACAGATATAGGGGACTAACTACATATGGTATGGTACTATTTGCAGTTTCAGGAATTCACTGGGCATCTCGGAACGTATCCCTGCAGATAAGGACGGTGGAGACTATATCTGTATTATTTATCTGGTGGTATAAAAGTGATGGGTAGGGAAAGTATCTTGACAAAACGGGTACCCAAGAAGTTTCTCCACCTATTTAACTCACAGACTCAATGTAGGCCTTATAAAGAAACAAGTATATAATCGTGTAAGAAGCAATAAGAAAAAGCCCACCAAAAAATAAAACAAAAAAAACCACCCCCCCACCCTCAAACAATAAACAAAGAAAGAAAATAAGGGCGATATTAGGGAATACTGAATCTTAAACTATGAATGCAATATGAATCATTTTAGCCCCACTGAGAGTTAAAGGACCTATAAAGACTCATTAGATCATTCATAACACCCATAATTCTAACCAAGTTGATTTGTTCTTAATTCTTACCAAGAGACAAATATAAATGATAATAAACTAATAAGTTTAAACCTAATCAATGACATTTTGATCTCTTTAAAGACTGTAGGTTGCTTTCTGGGTCCACTGAACAGTTTTAAAGCTCATAAATTAATAAATTGGCACTGTGGTTTATAAATAGACCACTTTCCAATGAGCTGGTTAAAATGGATCAGTCCCCCTGAATCTACCTAATTCTGAGAAAGCTTGTAAGAGCCAATGTATAGACTTGCAAAGCTAAGAAACAAAACACCAGCCAGAACTATCAGTGAGAACCCATCTAAGCAATCAGAAGGATGTTCTAGATAATTACTGTTTTTTTTGCCAGTCTCACTCCATAAAATGTTTATCAAAACAATTCATATTAAGATGCCACAAAATATTCATGAACTATAACTAAATTATAAATTCAGTATTAACAAAGAAATTTCAACCAATTACCATCAATAAGGGTTAAGAAAAAAAGCTCTTACCTTCCATACTGGTTCTCCTGTGCTGTTTTTAACATGTGGTACATTAAAATTCAACATACGCTTTAAAGCCACTGAAAATAAAAAGTTTTGTCAAATATACCATTTTTAAAGGACTTTATATTTTCTCTATATTATTATTAACTATCTAAAAACAAAATGCAGAACTGATTACAAGAGGCATTTATTTGTCCCAAATGAAATTGTTAAAAACTGTTGAGCAAAAAGTGTTTTTCCATTTCTCCTGACTATCCCACACTAAATTTTATGTAGATTTAAAAACAAATTTTTTAATCATGATCTTAACAGATAACTGGTGCTGTTGTCTATTTATTGCCTGGCTGAAAGCATAGATTAAGATCAGTCTTTCTAAAGGCAAAAAATTATCTATAGGTTATATGCAGCAGATCTATTTTTTGGTTACCCAAGAGTACATTTTTACAACCTATTTATCCTATCAGATTTTCTGAAAAGTTATGCTGCTTAAAATTCTATGTTGGAGGGAAAATGAGACTTTCCCATGGGTGTATTAGATAACTGATAATTCTGGCTAAGAAAATATGCAATTTCAATAACCACAGCAGTTATGGCCTATGTACAATTTTGTGTTTTTTTTTCCTGTTCATCTCTTCATGTAGACTTAAACATATTTTCTAAGGAAAATGAAAAATTTTTAATATACTTCTATATGAAACTGAGATAGTCAAATATTCAAGAAAATGTATTAAGTGATTTAATATTTCAAAGATTGGCAACATTAAATCTACTTGATTTTAAAAAGGGACCGGCATGGTGGTGGATACTTGTAATTCCAGTGGCTTGGGAGGCTGAGGCAGGAGTATCACAAGTTCAAAGCCAGCCTCAGCAATTTAGCGAGGCCTTGAGCAACTTAGTGAGACTATCTCAAAAAATAAAAAGGGCTATGGATGTGGCTCAGTGGTTAAGCATCCCTGGGTTCAATCCCCACTACCAAAAATAAATAAAAATTTAAAAAGCATTTGAGTCACTTTATTAAATAATACAGAAATACCCACACTCTGAACTCCTACCACAGAAAGAACTACATAATACTAAAATCACCCCAAAATCTATTTATATGCCCTACTTACTCACTAGGAAACTTCTATTAAATGCTTGTATATTGAGGTAGGTATAATGCTGTAACACCTTTATCACTGAAGAGATTTCACTTCAATAACATGCAGTTGTCCCTTGATAACTGTCCCACAGGAGACTGATGGATACCAAATCCTTGGAGGCCAAGTTCCTCATATAAAATGGGATAGTATTTGCTTATATCCTATGCAATCTTCCCATATACTTTAAGTCATGGCTTTATTATAATATCAAAGATAATGAAAATGCTATTATACTGTATTATTTAGGGAGTAATGCATGTGTTTAGTACAGACACGTTTGTTTAGAATATTTTTTTATTTGTAGTTTATTGACTATGTGGAAGCATAACTCAGAGATACAGTGGGCTGACCATGCTTAAATATTTGAGTGGGTTTATTCAAACATTTTCCAGTAGAATGTTTATTAGCACCTAATGACTAGTTAATAATACACATTACCAACAATTTATGCCTATCTCAAAGCCTCAGAGATATTATGGTATTACATAAAAATATACATAAATAAAAGAACACTTTTACATGTAAAATTAAAATATTACAAGAGGCAAAAGGATGTCCCTAGGTTAACTCTCCCATTGCTTTAGCAGAGCTCTTTTCCCCACCTCCAGGAAATAAAGAAAAAACACTACTCTGGCACTCACAGTCCTAGAGAAAGACACCTTGTTTGTAGAAAAAGCTGTTCACATTCTTGATATGTGACAACTAGGAAGAACTATATAGTCAGGCTGCCATGTGGATCTCAGGCATTTAGTGTTCTCTAGCGTTGGGCCTTAGTTAACTGAAAGAGGCCAGTGTGAGAAGATAGACAGTCTAACATTTGCTTTCTCAGCCCAGTCTAGGAAAATTTCTCCAACTGACTCTTTGCTAACTTGGTCAAAGATAGTTTGACACAGTGGATTTGTTAATGAAGTACATGGCCAGAATACATTTCAAAGAGTTATAAGAATGTAATTTTAAGATCATCAGAGTTTAACTCCCCAAGACTTATATTACTTCATTTTAATTGAAATAATAAACTAGTTTTCTTTATTGGCTTTAAATATACTATTCATATTTTTAGACTTGGTTAATGTAGCTTCATCCTTACCTGGAATGTTGTCTTCACTCATTCACTGAATAAATGTCATCTATGTTTTCTATTCATTCATTCAATGTTTAGCGAGTGCTTACCATTTACCTGACACTGCCTTAGCAGTACTAGCACTAAACGGGTACTAGCACTAAACAAAACAAATCGAATAAAAATGACCAGTCCTCATGTAGCTTTCATTTCAGTTGGGGGACAAAAACTAGTAAAAACAAATAAGACACAAAGTATATGAGATCATAAGTCCTATGGAGAAAAATATCAATGGGAAAGGGAAAAAAGGAGATGGTTTATTTTTATTAACTCCTCAGAATATATAGCTTCACAAACTTCAAGACCATTGGTTAACAGGTATAAACATTCGTTTAGAGCTAACATGCATAAACCAAGTCGTCATCACAAAGTTTACAAAGAATAAGGAAACACTAAAACTATCTAACATGGAAAAACATTAAAACTCAAGGGAATATGAATCTTTACCAGATTTCAAAGCTATTTAAACATGCTCTACTGAAGATAAAATTATCATGTTTTAAAATACTAATCAAACAACTGAAATGGGAAAGCCATTAGTTAACTTGCTTTGCCATTCTTCTATCCCTTCCAGCAAGCTTAAGAAGGAAATCTGTATCACCAGGCATTTTTCTTTAGGTTCCCCTAAAAGGCTGGTCTGAGAGAGATGATGCACAAAGCCAATCTGAAAAGAAGCTCTAAACTTTGTAACTGGTGCAGGTGAAGGAAAAAATGGAGTTCTTTAAACTTTAAAACTAGAGTGACAAAACAGGGAGACGTGCAATACGCACAGATACAAACCTCGGGATCTCCTAAGTGGCAACAGAGGAAAAGAAAATTCCAGCTGCCAGATATTGTCTTGACAGCCTTCTGAGCCTCGGTAGTAAAAGGCAGACTGTAGTAATCGGCCCACTCCTAAGGCCCCTTCTCCGGTATCACAGGTGAGGGCCAAGTCCTAAAGCGAACTGCATCTCTTCACCAAAAACTCAAAGGGGAGGGGCTCTTGATGCACTAGGAGACTAAACTCCTGGAGATCGGTCTTTGAGTTACACGCACCACAACCAAATGAGGGCGACAAGCAGATGGAAAGGATGTCTCTGCGCAGGCACAAACCCACATAGAAGAAAATAAGTCTGTACCTGTCTGTCTCTCCCGAATACTGGCTGCCGCCACCGCTGCCGCCATTTTGACTCCCACCATCCACTGCCCAGCTGGCGAGCGGAGCCAGAAGATGACGTGGCGGTCCCTTCCGCCCCGGAAGCAGAGGTTGGAGGGGCGGGGCTTGGAACACACTCCGCCTTCCAACGCGACCGCTTCTCCTGGGCTCTGGGGACACAGTTTGGAGATCCTGTTGAAGTTAGAATTGCGGGTGTTGTTTCCTTTCTAGCTACACCCTCTCAAATGTAGAGTAGGAATTTAATCCCCTCGAGTAGGAATTTGTTGCTGTGTTAGGAAGCTAATGATACGGAACAGATATTTTGGTCCTTACATTTAAATGGTAACAATACTCAAGGTTTGTAAGAATCACAGAACTAAAGTACATGAAACTCCGGATTCCCCTTCCTTTTCTAGAAACACAGGACGTTTGGAGCGTTGCCCTTATATGGTAGATTTTTTCATCTCAATCTCTTATCTCTCAGTGCTCTAGTTTTATGGTGTTTTTTCCTGCATGAATACTGGAGTCAGGAAGGTGCCAAAAATGTCTTTAATTACAAATTCACAAAACATTACTGAAGTAGGGTGTGTATCTGTGGGGAGGGTTGGGTATTGTTGATGTTTGTATACTTGAAGTCATGCGATCACAACAGAGAACAGTCTGATAGTTTCCATAATCCATAGATTTTTATTGGATGTCAAAAATGGATACACAATTTCTCATGTTCAAGGTTCATTGCTGACATTTTGCTAGCTGTTGAATGTTTCTTTTGAAGTTGCATAAAATTCTGAAATAATAAATGATGCCTTAAAAGCTTAACTTTGAAACTAGTGTTTTCTTCAATGGTATTACAACTATTTTCAAAAAAATCTTTAATGAACTAGTGTCTTTTTTTAGACAAATGACAGTTCCTGCCTTATGGGTAAGTTTTACTGCATACTGCATTCTTCAGGGAATATAAAACATAGACCCAACTCCACTTACAAATGCAAATCTATCATGTAATAGTTTCAGTTCCATCAAAGACTCCTTTTGAGGAACTACATGAGTCATATTAACATAAAATACTGAAACAATGTTAAATTTATGTTCAGTAGGTGTATATTATGTGTATGGAAAAAAAAACTGTCCTGCGGGCAATAAATTTACAGAAAAATATACCCCAGAGAAGAACAGTAGCAGCAGATGAATAATACTTGAAGGGCTGAGATTATGGTATTTCTTTTGTATTATTAGAATCAAAGAATAAAATGCATTCTGTTATCACAGACTACCTCAGAACATTTCATGTATAGAGAGGCTCCTGGTTGTCAGCTGCTTATAGGATCTCTCAAATGTGGAGAGTACAGGATTTTGGATGTTACTCAGTTTTGTCAGAATCTTAACCTTGTGAAATTCCAGCAAGTTCTTTAATTTAGTTTATATAAGCACATTTAGTGGCACATTTATTCAGAAAACTTCATTGTCATGCTTTTTGATTACATCTGGCCACTTTTAAGATGGGGAGAAATAGGCTCACATATAAATAATCACCTAGCATAACACTTGGCATACAGTAGGTATTAGAGTATGTTTGGGAATTTGAAAAGGGTCAAAATCAGAACTTGAAAACTGGGTCTGTTCAAGGCAATCCAAATTTCCTTAAACTACAAGTCACACACATCCACTTCATCATTACATGTGTTCTTATGTTTTGTATTGCATTACTTTAAGCACAAAACTTTGCATTACTTGAAGCATAAAAAACTAACAGCTTACAGAAAAAGCAATAATAGAGTATGATAATCACTATATACAATAATTATGTTTATAAATAGAAAAATTTTATGATCAATGATCATTTTCTTATTATGATTGAATACTAAAGGCAAAGTCACTGAGAAAACTTATCCATATTTCCCGTTTACTTAGCATTTTAGTACTGAGTGCAGATTTGAATAGCTTTCTCCATATAATTAGGGAAAAATTATGCTTTAAACAGAAGTCAAAGTAAATTCTCAAGCTAGTAAACAAATGAAGACTTTTGCTTTACTAAAAAAAAATTTGTCATAATGTAGAAACTAAATATTACAAAGTATAAAATTATAATCTAAAACTTTTTGGTATTTTAAAGAATCCTTACCTTAAATTCTAAAAGAGTAAAATGACCAAGTACAAGAATAGTATTGTATAAAAGACCTTCAGATAAAGAACCCATACTAGAAACAATTTTAAAACTGTTTTAAAGAAATGAATATAAAACTAATCAAAACCATTAATAATAGGTGCATAATAGTCAATTTATGGTTTTCTTCAATATTAAGTAAAAGAAAACAAGCTTAAAATAATACACGCCATTTAGACAATTGAAACAGTAAATACATATACAAACTTTGTAGCATAATTCCTTTATAAAATTCGGCATCAGTTAAGAATTGTGCTATAAAACAAATAGGAACAGAATAACACAAACCATTTGACAAAGTAACACTGCAGAAAATAAATAACCAACAGGTTTCTCTGATATGCCTTGACTATACAGATTAACCTAAAAATCATAACAGGACATCCTTCAAACCAGAAAACATTTTACAATATATTTACATTTCACTTTAAGAGGCTAATATTCTGAATTATTAATTACACCATCTTATACTAAGGCCTTCTCTATACTTAAGTGTAAGGAGGAACTGAAATAGCAGTTTTAATTATTATTAACCAAGCATGTTGCTCCTAGTCCCTACCCCCACCCTCACAAAGCATGCGAGTATTGTATTAGTTTTAATTAGCATACAAGGAGAAATTAAAACTACAAACCAGAAAGTAGATCTAATTGTTTTTTTTGGGGGGGAGGATTATATTGATTTAATGGCTTTTAAATTTTTCTAAAAACTAGATGCATTAAGAAATAAAATACCTGATTTATCAACACATTTTGAATAAAAGCTCTATGGTGAGCTTGAGGTTTATATTAGATATTAAACTTTTAAAATAACTGACCCTTTAATTACTTTTGATAATCTAACAATTTAACACATGGCAAAGAAATGCCTTGTTTATTAATATTGTTAAATAATTAAAGTAAGTAATTTGCTAGGTCTGTTAGTACAATTTGAAAAATGAGGTAATAAAGGAAATTACGTTAGGATTGTTTTCATTTTCCTTTGGTTTTAAGAGATGTATTACCATAAGTCAATCTTGGTAATTTTCTTTAAAAATATTAATAATTTGAGTATTGGGGAGTCTCATCTTGGGAAGGATGAGATTGTGATCATAGCTAATACTTAATGTAGCAAGAAAATTGTGGTTAAAATATTTTACCTCTCATAATGCCTTACCTAGTATATAATGATTTACTTTAGCAGAAAACCAGGGCTTTATCTCATTTATTTCATAATAGATTGGGATCTGATAATAGATTAAGGACATCCAATTTCTCAATTTTTTTGGTAGGAACACAACTATGGGAACATAAGTATGAAACTATATATCTTCAAATTATTATTACATGATTTCTTGTTAATTTTAGTAGCATTAATATTGTTAAAAATAGACAAGACAGGAGTTTATAGATGAATATACAGAAACAATACTAATATGTATGGTGAGTTTAGAGTGGGGTTTTCATTCTGTTTGTATTTTTTTATTTATATTCTTTTTTACTTTATACATTGCTTATATAAAAAGGTATCTTTCTAGGGTAAAGAAGATAATTGTACAATGGTATGGAGCTGGTTTGCCTATAATACCACCTTAATAATGCCAAAAACCCATGTATAACACATTATAATACACAGAGATCATTCAGATACCTAAAGTGATTATGGATTAGACATACTGAATACCAGAGTTTTTTTTTTTTTTTTTCCAGAGGTCTATGATTAAAACCAAGACTTAGAAGATACTATTCTCTTAGGTATTTTCAGTTACATTGTATCCACCTCAGAAGTGTTTTTAAGCCTATGGAACATGCCCAGAATCCAGACAATTTTGTGCAATTCTGCTTTTTATATAACACCTCCTATTAGAAATAACCCAATTGCAGTGTGGGTAATTTTAACATAAATCAGTGATCTAGAAATATTTTAGCAATGGATTTAGTGCCATCTTTGAAAAGCATAAATATAATGTATAAACCCCAGAATCTAAGCCTGATTCCTAAAGCAGGATTTAATCAATTAGCTCTTCTATTTAATCCTTTAAAATAAAGAAAAATTTGAAAATGGCACCTGCCATGCTATTATACCTGAATCAAGTTTGTATAACCATTCTAAAAGTAATTACATTGAAGATTATGAAGCCTGTACATTAAGAAAACAGAAAAACATCACCAATTTTGACTAGAATGCCTTAATTGAAAAAACTTCTGTTTTGTTTAAATGGCCAAAACATTCCTTTATGTTTATATCATAAATTTTATTGGGTCAAGAAGGTGACAAGTTTGTTCAAAACTGATGATTAATAGATTTTTGAAACAAGAAAGTTTTTAATAGCAGCTTTTAAAGAAGCATCTCTTTGTTCAAAGAAACATTTTAATGTTCACTGTAATGAGAACTTTCTTCCTTTCCTAGTCTTAGAGTGTTTCTTATGGCGAAGTCCATATTTTCTTGAAACTCTTTATATGTACTGGTGATTGGAAGAGTTAAAGAGTTATTACATTTGTTTCCAATAGGAAAATCCATATGAAGACACTCAATTGAAGGAGTGGGTTTAAATCCTGCAGGTGGAATGGAACTGCAACCAGTTGCAAAAATAAGAATGTCTTCCAGTGTTGTTGCAGATTTGCCATCTGAAGTTTACCAATAAAAAAGAAAGAAAAAAAATCCAAGTTACATATTGATATTATCATAGTCTCTTCCTCAACTAGACTGAGAAAACTGAAAAGACTCCCCACATTCATCTTAGGCAAATTAAATCACTAAGTGTAGGAATAGGCAAATATTACATTCAATTAATAAATCTCAAAGGATTCATAAAGTAATACAACTACTCATGGTATATTTGACTTCTTTTCAATCATCACTGATTAACATACTATTTAAACAACTGCAGAGAAAAAACTAAATTGTGAAAAAACAAAAATACAGCTAATTGAACTCTGGTTGAAAGATAAAATTTTCTTTATAAAATGGATTTACATTGCTAAGCTCAGTGTTAAATATCATCAGCACAGCCCTGATCAGAGGATAAATTATAATTAAGTTGAACTTCAGATTGAAAAAGATAAAATAACTGATTAGCTTTAAGACTGTTTGACTATTATGTGCTGTGGCCATCATCTATATTTTAAAAGTTTTATAGGAGAAAATGCCTTTCACCTCAAATTATCTAGAGGTAAGCCTTTTCTTATCACTTTCAACACAGTAACATAAACTTGTCTTGAAATAAATGAAATAAGACTTATGAATATCAAGAAGTAAAATTCTGTAAGAAATAAAATGTTGAGACAAACATTCTGAGATAGTTAAATAAAAACAAAATATCCACATACCCTCAACGGTCTGTAAGTAACTGTTCCAAAACCCCAAAGCTTGTACATCAGGTAATGTGTGTACTGTAAAAAGATCTCTAAGGATCTTTGCAGAAAGATTCTCAGGTTTATGACAGAGGATGTTACAAAATGCTTCTGGGTAAGTCTGAATTTTTTCCAAAACACCAAGAGTTTTCAGACCCTGCTTAAAACTTGAGAGGAAAAATAACAAGCCAACATTGTTTAGTATTACCTTATTAGGGAATCAAAACATTTTTAGCAAACTTACTTTATAGATACACTATGTATACTTTAATGTCAATAACAAGCAAATACATTAATGAGTGTTTTCTATGACTATATTATTTGACTTTATAGTTTCAAAATTAACATTTTACTAAGAGAAAGAAGTAAATGTCCTAAGTATTTTATACTTCAGAGCTATTTGTTATAAAATTTAAAACGTATTACTACAAATAAATCAGAAGACATCAAAGTGGGAAAATATTTTAGTATACATGACAAAATATTAATTTCTCTAATATACAAAAAATACAATTCTTTTTTCTAAAAGATCAATAATCCAATAGGAAAATGTGCATGAAAAATATGTATAGTTATCAGAAGAAATGCAAATAACAAATGAATACTCAAATGCACATTCTCATTAATAAGCAAAGAACAGAGGTACCAGTTTTGTCTATCAGACTGACTTTCTGGATTCCCTAACCTTTTACTCAAATAATCTGCTTAGATTGGTTTATTTCTCCTTTTAGAACTTTCCACCACTTTATGGTGTTAAAGTTTGGATATGTGCTGTCCCCCAAAAGCTCTTATGTGAGACAATGCAGAAATTGTCAGGGTTGAAATGATTAATCGTAAGAACTATGCCGTAGTCCGGCTGGGCAAAATAACCGAGAGGTGACAAGCAACTTGAAGGTTGAAGCGGGAACTACTTTATTGCAAGTGAACTCAGTGAGAACTCAAAGTAGAGGGCACCCGAGATAGAGCCGCTTCTCTGACAGACAGCAGAGGTATATATACTTAACTAATTACACACAGCTTAACTTAATTAACATCATCTAGATACAGCAGTCAGCCAATAAGGAATCCTCATCAGCTTAATGGCTCCCTGGCGTTGCTTCACAAACCACTCCTCCTGGCAAAGTGCCAGGCGCTATCTAGATCTGATTTGCATCCCCAACAGAACTATAACCGAATTGGTGGATTAATCCACTTAAATGGATTAACTGGGTGATAACTATAGACAAGTAGGATGTGTCCAGAGGAAGTTGATGACTGGGGGTGTACCTTGTGGTTTATATTCTGTCCCTTTCTCTGCTTCGTAGCTATCATGTCCTAAGCAGCTTTCCTCCTCCACACCCTGTGTAATGATATTCTGCCTCACACTGGGTCCAAAACTATGGAACTAGATGACAACAAACCTCTGAAACTGTAAGTCAAAATAAATTTTCCCCCTTCTTAGGTCTTTTGGTCACAGCAATGCAAAAGCTGAATAAATGTTTTTCTGTTACTTGCTTTTTTCAGAGTAATTTTCACTTATTTGTGAAACCATTTCTGCCACTTTAATTAGGGCAGTTTGTACTATCTTTTAAAAATACTTTTTTACTCCTTGCCAATTTCTGTATTTACTGATTTTCTAAACCACCAATTCACCCTATTTTAATGTCACAGTAACTCTTAGTTTTAAAATTATTGCTCCCTTAAGGTTTTAACAAACATTTTGAAATCTAATCTTCCTGAGGAATACAAAAAACCTTATGTTTATAACTCTACTCACTCTCATACTACTTATGCTATTTAAAAATTATTTTAGTTCCTACTTGTATTGTAATCCCTCAAATTAGACATTAATTTTCTGTACAACCAGTGTTTATTTTTATCGGTTTCTTTATTCACCACTCTTCCCCCTTGAAAACCTCTCTGTTAGAATCCTCCTTCCCATTTATATCCAGTAACCTTGCTTAACTCTAAATAGAATATCTTGTTTTATACAGATAATTACATAGCCTAAAAAGGTAATGATTTTATTTTTTCTAAACTTTAATAATATTCATTTGTTTAATTTGTTGCTCTGCTCACACCTCCAACATGTTATTAAAAGAAGGGACTAGTTGTGTGTATCCTAGACTTGTTTTAGTCTTAAGGGGAGGATATACCTAAAATATTTTGCCATTAGGGATGTTTGCTGAATATGTATAAGATACTCTTTTATCAACAGAGACATTTTAATTTCTTATTATATGAGATTAACATTATTCATTCTCTTCCTAAATTGCTAATTTAAAACTAACTATAAATGTTTAGATGTGTCAAATGCTTTCTTGTGTCTCTGACTATAAAAGGATCTTAGCTTTTTTTCTCCTTTAATCTATTAGCGTGGTACACAATGAATTTTTCAATTTTGCACTTAACTTGCTTCCTAATGTAAATCTTCCTCAGAATTGATATTTTTATTCACTGCTATTATAGGACTTCAGTAATTATTTGCATGCTTAAAATAAACTCTTTGAGATCTGTTTCAAATTTCTTAACAGAACCTATAAATTTAGCAATTTCTTGCATCTTATTAGTTTAGTGTTACATATTCTGGAACTACATAGTTAGGTGCAAACAGATTCAAGACTGTTTAATCTTTCTAAAGAACTGAGGATCTTTTAAGATCAGGTTTTATTTATTTATTTTTTAAAGATCAGAGACTTTTATCTTTTTTTGTTGTTTAACAAATTTAAGGTTCTTAGTCTTGTAATACAAAAGTGTAAGCAATGAGATTAAATAGGTTTTCTTGATTTTTCCCCTGCCCCATCCCCTCTTCAAACTATTTGGAAGATATATACAGTCTATCTGTATAATTTTAGAGCTTTTCCTTAAAAGATTTATACTTGATTTAATAAAGTTTAAAGCCAATTAATACATCCATAGTACTACCTCAACAATACAAGCTCTTTAAAACAAGAACTCCACTAACTTCCCTTATCATTTTACATAGTACTCTTTTTCTAAAATTTCAATTATTTGAAACTTTTCTTGCCAAAAAAGTAGTAGTCTTTTTAATGGTTGCTTGTTTTTATTTACCCAGTTTCTGCCCTCAACCCCACTCCTTTTCACTTCTTTGTTCATTGCTGTTTTGTTTATCTTAAACTTCTGGTTACAATTTCATTCTTCCTGAAGTATATAATTTACTAATCCTTTAAGAAGTAAACTTTGTCCAGAAATATTCTTCAATATATACATATTTTTAGTTGTTGATGGACCTTTATTTATTTACTTATATGCAGTGCTGACGAACCCAGTGCCTCATATGTGCGAGGCAAGCACTATACCACTGAACTACAACCACAACACTACTTTTATTTTCTTGACCCTTGAATAATGCAGACTACTTTCATGAAGTTATAACTTTGGCTGTTTCTGCTTTCAATATAATAAATGTTCATTTTTACAAACGTCTTTGCACATGCTGCTGTTCCATCACAAAGTAATCTACTTTGGCTCATTAAGCCTTGTGAGTCTGAAGAATTTTTCAAGCAGTATTTTCTGTAATCTGTCCCTATATTAGTTAAGTGGATGCTCTTACTCTAATACTGATTTCTTATTTCAATCTTCCTTTCTTTGTTCTAATCAAACCTTCCTATTCCTCTTCAGTTACACTTTCTCTTCAACTGCCTGGCATTTAATATAACTATCAAGTTTTCATTTCCATGATCATTTGTTGGTCTTCCCTATCTTCCTGTGGCTTTTTAAAAAATTCCATTTTTTTATTTAAAGTGCTTTTTAGTGTCTCTGTATACAGTTTTAAAAAAATATATAACAATCGGGCTGGGGTTGAGGCTCAGTGGTAGAACACTTTCCCAGCATGTGTGAGGCCCTGGGTTTGATCCTCAGCACCACATTAAAAATAAATAAATAAAATAAAGGTATTCTGTCCAAATACAAGCATCAACATTTTACCATTTCAAGTAAAATACAGAACACTTCCCTCCCTTTAAATCCCTTTACCCTTCCATGTTTATGATGTAATGTCTTAAATATTTCCTCTACATACACTGTGAATCACATTAAGTAATGTTACAATTATTTCCTCGATAATCAAACATGACTTAGAAAACACAGGAGGAGAAACATGTTTTTATTCTTTTCACTAAAAAGAATGTTCAAGACTCAATCTTGAATTACTTGCTTTGTTTCAAAAACTTGTATAGCCATTTTCTAAAGGGTATATCTGCTGGTGACAAATTTTCTTAAGTTTTCCTTCACATAGATTGTTTAGATTTCCCCTTCACTCTTGCTGTGTCATTCCTTGGGTCCTTCCTAGTAGAAACAGACAGTTCGCTCTCCACCTTTCAAAGTTTTCTTTTGCTTGTTTTAATATAACATTTGGAGTTTTTGAACAGTAGATATCAGGAGAAATAGAAAGATGTCTACATGTTATTCAGAAGCAGAAGTCCACAAACATTTTAATATAGAAATACTATTTGATTAATTTTATATTTTGTTCCAATTCTTTTAAAAAAATCTTTTTGGGCTGTGGCTGGGGCTCAACGGCAGAGCGCTTGCCTCGCATGTGTGAGGTCGTGGGTTCGATCCTCAGCACCACATAAAAATAAGTAAATAAAATGAAGGTATAACTTAAAAAAAAAAAATCTTTACAATCATTGCAAAAATACTTCGTTCTCTTGCCCAAATCTTTTACTGTGCTATTTCTCCCAATTCTTGCTTTTCAGCCAGACGTAAGTTTTGCCATTTTTTACTGGGAACTCCAATTTGTGAGGACTGCTTTACCTTTAAGCATTCCCATTAGACTTGAGCTATAGAAATTTCCCTACACTGCTGCTATATATTGCTTATACAAGCTATTATGAATCCTAAAACCAATTACTTTGTTAATTCTTCTTTAGACTGGGGACCACATAGAAAGTCCAAAAACAAGCTTGAGGCAAGTGGAGGGTTTTTGTTTCTTTCCATGACAGCTAAGGCACTTTAGCATTTGGTTTCTTTGTTCTTTCTTACATCTTTGGGGCTACTTTCTTATAAGTCAAAACATACTTTGCTATATAACTTTGTATGTTTTATATAAAAGGAGGGATTGATTTTCAACTTCTTTTTTCTTGCCTCTTCATTTTGATCTTCCTAACGGCTACTTATCATTATGGTTTTAATTTTAAAACTCTTACATACAGAAGCCTTTCTTGACCTCTAGACTACTTATATCTCTAAAAACAAAACAAAACAAAAAGATAAATGACAATGATTCTACTCTATTTTAGAGAAAAATCCATTTGTAGATAAATGAACTGGGGGGGGCACATACCTCACTAAGAGATGCACTTCAAATAAAATTTTACTAATTATAACCAAATCTAAAATATACTAGGATTTTATATACTAACCTTATATATGACTTATATATAATTTATAATCATAATTATAAGTAATAATTCTGTTTCTAAGAAAATTTTACTATTCAAGTCACACCAGAGAACATTTAGAAAATGTTTACTGTATGATAGTAGTATTTTAAGCTGCAATATTAAAAATATATTGAAAATCACATCTTTTGCAACTATTTAAGATTATAATGGTATTATTATGGTGTACAAGAGTGCTAGGGAACATCCCAAAAGTCTATCAACAGGAAACTGGTTGAAAAAACCATATATTCAAACAATGGAATTCTGAGTACCCCTAAAAAGAAATGAGTAATATGTCTATTCATGTACTATCACAGAAATGAACTCCAAATACACTATCAAGTGAAAAATTAGTAGAAGAAAGGGTGGATGGCATGTTACTATTTATCTAATAAAAGGAATACACATACATACATATCCTCACATATTATCTGCTATTTTTAAAAAGAAAAACAAACAATGTAAGGAGAAATCATTAAAAAAAAAGAAAAAAAAAGCCAAAAGATTACTTCATAAGGGGATGGAAGGTGAATGTGTTTAGGATGAAAGCTACACTTCTTTGAATACACAGTGCATCACAAAAGTATATTTTTATATGCTTTTACTATTTACTTGACTTCAGAACCATGCAAATACTTTATATAACTATTAAGTAAAAATTTCATAAAAAATAATCACAAAAATATTAAAAACGAAAAGTATATCCAACTAATAGTGCAACACAGGGAATAAGTATTCCATATAACTCAAAAACAAATTGTACAGTTCTAGAAAAAAAAGGACAGTAAGTTAAATTTGTTTTAGTAATATTATGTTATTGGTAAAAATGTTAGTATTGTTATTTTGAGACAAATGTTTAGGAAATGAGGAATAAGTGAAGAACTATACTTTAATTCCCTGGTGTCCTTAAAACTGGGATTCTTAACATGGGATATAGAAAAACTTAAGTCATGTAATAATGAATTTGAAGTATCAGTATGAATCCATGATGTATTTTTATCTTTCAAACCCTTCTCCAAAAAACAAAAAAACAAAAAAACCAGCCAGACATGATTGTGCATGCCTGTGATCTCAGCAAATTGGGAGGATTGCAAGTTTGAGGCCAGGCTCAGAAATTTGGCAAGACCCTGTCTTTAAAAAGAAAAAGAAAAAGAAAACAAGGACTAGTGGTGTAGTTCAGTGGTAAATGGCAAAGAACCCCTGAGTTCATTCCCAGTATTCAAAACAAGCAAAACAAAAAATAAACACAAACACAAAACAAAACCAACCACAAAAAGCAAAAACAAAGGAAACAATAGTATAGCAACAACAACGACAACAAAACCCTCACAAACCAAAGCAAAACAACTTCAATAAAACCACTGAAAAGGGGTCTGGGTGTGGTGATGCATGCCTGTAATCCTAGAGGCTTGGGAGGCTGAGGCAGGAGGATCCCAAGTCCAAAGCCAGCCTCAGCAATTTAACAAGGCCCTAAGCAACTCAGTGAGATCCTGTCTCTAATAAAATACAAAATAGGGCTGGGGATGTGGCTCAGTGGCCAAGTGCCCCAGAGTTCAATCCCTTGTACCCACCTTGACTGCCCCCCTGCAAAAAACAAAACCACTGAAAAGGCTTAGATACAGAAACCATCCTGGAAAAATAAGCATCCCTAGCATCCATCTACATTGTTTTGTGTGTGTGTGTTTGTGGTGCTGGGGATTGACCTCAGGCCCTTGTGCATGGGAGGCAAGCACTCTACCAACTGAGCTATATCCTCAGCCCCACACTGGTTTTTGAAATAACATTTTCCATTAAAAGAAACAATGCTTCCTTAGGCCAGAATGTACAAAATGGATCTGAATATTTTCATCACACAATATAGAAAGAAAGCTATCAAAGTCTATTAAGGGTCACATCAAAAGAAACAAAAAGTTAAAAAGGTCAAAAATAAGATAATACAAAACTTCAGTAAAGATAAATAATAATCATTTTAAACACATCACATATATTTAAATCCATAGGTGATACTGAACTTTTAAAAAATGAATGATCACTTCTGAGATAATATTGTGTATGGTGAATAATATTGTATATTGACTGAAAATAATACTGAAGTCAATAATAGGAATAAGAATATAGAATAGGACATTGATGAACAAGATTAGCCATAGGTAGATAACTTTTAATATTAGACGGTGATCACAAGGCTACTTCCATATATATTTGAAAATTTTCATTATTAAAAAAATGACTGTGAGGGGAGACATAAGTTGTCAGACATATTTTTAGGGTTATTGGGACAAAATTTTGAAGACCAATGTTCTAAACTGAAGAAGAGCAAGAATCAGATCTACCTTGTTACATGGTTAGGACCTATGTTAAATAAATATTGAGCACCTAGCAGACTGAGGTGCTCAATATTTATTAAAAGAATGAGATAGACAGAATAGTAAGCATATGTAGTAAAAGTTTTCAAAGTAATTTTCTTTAGAAAAATAATTATAAATTGAAGTAATGATTACTTCTCCTAAGCATAATACATTTAATTAATTCTGTATAGATTGATCAGAAAAGGGCTGGGGGATACAGCTCAGTGGTAAGAGTGTTCACCTGTATGTACAGGTCGCTGGATTCAATCCCCAGCATTGCCCAAAAAATGAAGTAGAATAATCAAAGAATAATGATCATCATTGAGAGGTTAATTTTAAGGCATTATTTTAAAATAACCTTTTTTCTGAAAATAAACAAATGTTTATTTTTAATTATAAGATAATGAACCACTTTGAACATAATTTGGGAAAATCTTAACATAAAAGCTGCTTACCTTTCAAAGGGTGCTTGGACTCTCTTAATTACATGGTAGAAAAGTATGTCTTTTACCAACATATACTTATCACTTAATGTCGTTAAAAGTCTAAGACATCCAATAAGCTCTAGGTAGTTGTAGCATTCATTTACTACTGAGTTTAAGTCAGTCATATTTGTTGCAGTATTTATCTGTAATGAAGGAGAAAATATACCTACTTTACCCATTTATTTGTGAGTGATACTTACATTTCAAATGACACATTATTTTATACTCAATTTTTTAAAAAGATATTTTATTAGTTATTGATGAAACTTTATTTTACTTTATTTTACTTATAAGCAGTGCTGAGAATTGATCCTAGTGCCTCACCCATGCTAGGCAAGTACTCTACCACTGAGCCACAACCCCAGCCCCTTTATACTTAATTTTTGAGTACATCAAGGGTAGAGTGGAATATACTAAAAAATATTTTCTAGAATCAATGTTTGAAATCTGGTTTAACAAATATTGTATATTTCTGCCTTCAAGATCTAGATTATAATGCCAGTTTAATACAGGAAATTGTTTATATAAAAATCAATGAAATAGAGAATTTTATAGCTCTAGAGGGGCAAAAGAGATGACATGAGGAAATTTCACAAAAGAGAAAAACTATTGGCTGAAACCTAAAAGATGCATAAAATTTACCAAAAAAAAAAAAAAAATTTCAGTATTAAAAAATACTTGGGGCTGGAGTTGTGGATCAGTGGTAGAGTGCTTGTCTAGCATGCATGAAGGCACTGGGTTCGATCCTCAGCACCACATAAAAATAAAATAAAGGGTTAAAAAAGAAACAAAGAAATACTTAACTATTTATGTGCCAGATACTTGCATATAGATAGATTAGCTGTTAAAAAAAAAAAAGATACAGTAGGGTTGGAGTTGTAGCTCAGAGGTAAAGTGCTGGCCTAGCATGCGTGAGGCACTGGGTTCAATTCTCAGCACCACATATAAATAAGTAAATAAAGGTCTATCAACAACATAAAAATATTTTAAAAAATATAGTAGGAGAAAGATAAAAACAGAGGCAATCAATAATCCATTCATAGAAAATTTCTTTCCAAAACATTCTTCTTCCAGAGATTAATGATTCCCTCATTCTTTTCAAATCTCTGCTGAAATCTCTTTAAGTTTTTTTCTCATTACATTCATCAAAATATTACCTGTATTCTCTGTCAAAATTCATAGTTTAGTATATGTTGCTCCATTCCCCCAAATCCCACTTTGAGTTTTAGCTGGATACCCAGCCAGACTTTCTCTGGAGCTAATGAGTAAGGTCTATCTAATGGGATATGAGTCAAAACAATGTGTCAACTTCTCTGCTCTCTGGTACTTTCAACAAGTTGAAGATAATGTTCTAAGTAAACAAAATGAAAAGAAGGAACCCAATACTACCCTATATGATTTTGAGTACTGAAACTGTACTTTAAAATAGGGGCCTTGTCTGTCAAGGGCCAGACAGTATTTTCTGCTTTGTGAACTATATGGTGTCTGTTGCAAATACTCATCTCTGCCACTGTAATGTGAAAGCAGACAGATACATATCAAAGGGGTGTGGTTTTGTTCCAATAAGCAGACATAGTCTAGAGGACATTATCTAGACAAGATTTAAGAAGGAAATAAACATCTACCTTTATTTGGACCACCATCTTTTGGGGCTTATTTGTTAAAGAAGCTTAGCTTAAACCCTAACTTTAATATACAACAACTTTTATTTATCCAACTCCTTTTATTCTGCTATATTTATCTTCATAATATATATTTACTTTATGGTGGTATTTTTTGTATTATGGTGGTATTCCTTCCTGTAAGAAGACAGAAACTTGGTTCATTATTCTGTCTTCAGTGATAACACACTACACTGTGTGTTATCTTGCTGACTGTGTATACTTGCTGACTAAATGAAGGAAAAAAACACTGGGTAGGAAGTGAAGAAAGCAGAGTATATAAAGCCATGAAATGCTTTATTGTGAGTTTAAACTTTGTTTAAAAAAGTCTAGGAGGGGGGATCTTAACCCATTAAATCCTGAGTTTTCAATTCTGTGAACATTTCAATGAAATGGACATAGGTGCCTTAAAATAGGTTGGAAATCATAATCTGGAGATTATATATTAACATCATTATACTGTGATCATATTCTTGTTACTATAATTATATTTCTTATTACATAATTATATATTATATACTGTATTTAAGTTTTTATAGGTATGCCATATCTATGACAATGGGACAAAATGGGTTAAACATGCGGCCTAGTGTGCTAGCAAGCCCCAGATCATATCTTCATATAAAATATGGGGATTAAAAATACAGGCTATGAATCATTCAGAAAGGTTATGAGAGAGAAATCACTCTTCAGAGAATAAGAATAAGGACTGTTAAGACAACACTGAAAAATTCTTAAGTGTCGGGGGAGGGGGGGGTAAGAGAAGAAGCATTAAGGAAGATAGTAGTAACCAAAAGTAGGAAGTAGTACAAAATTAAAGAAAACAGTAGGGAGGAATTTTAAGAAAGTACTGATTATAAAAGTCAGGGAAGATAATGCCTCTAATTGCAATCATTCGGTAGGCTGAGAAGAAGAATCACAAGTTCAGGGCTAACCTTGGCATTTCAGTAAGACCCTGTGTAAATTAAAAAATAAAAAGCAGTGGAGGCATAGCTTAGTGGTACAGTACCCCTGGGTTCAATCCACAGTACCACAAAAAGAAGATGGAAGAAGACCCTCATTGTTATACACAATTACATATATGATGGTGTGAGGGGGAAGAAAAAAAAAAGAGAAATGTGTCACAGTAGATTGGGTAGAGAGAGGTGATGGGAGGGGAGGGGTGGATAGGAAGAGCAGCAGAAACAACAGACACTAGTATTGCTGTAGGTATAAATGTGGCTGTATAACCAATGTGATCCTGCAATCTGTACTCATGGAGAAAAAAAAAAAGAAAAAACAACAACAAAGATGAAGAATTAGAAAAGAAAGGGTTCAATATTGAGGATTTAGATCACTGAATAGAAGTTATGAATAAGCTAACTCAGGAGACTGGTGGTAGGAACAAAAGAATGATTTTAAGAAGTGAAGATATGTAGAAATTGGAAAATAGAGAAAATGAAGTTAAAGAAACTGCTTCTGATAAAGAAAGAAGACAAAAAGAAAAATGAAATTGGAGTTAATTCAAAATATGATTTTAGGATGAACAGTCTTAGGTCAAATAAATAGACCTGTTAAACCTCAACAGATAGCAACTCATACTTCCATGGTGTTTACTTTGTGGTTCAGAAACCAAGACTTTACAAGATTAACATGCCCAGGTCATACAGTAGTTAAATGGCCTAATACTCAAACCAAAATCTCACTTATATATTATGATAAATGAGTTTATACATATGTTGAGTGTAGTAAAGTGCACAATGAATGGTGGGAAGCATTGAGACCACCCCCCTACTTGTTCCATGTGGAAGAAATTAATCCTGGTCTTTCTTTCCTTCTATGACTTACTTTCTCTCCTTCTATTACTTCCCCATAGAAAGAAAGGTAAACATTCCCACTGGAGAAGCAAATCCTTCCTTTCCTCAAAACTACTTGCCTCCAAGATGGTGCACTTTCATCTGTTCTTTAGTAGGCAAATTAGGAACCTGCCACACATTAGCTCTGCCCTGGACAGATCCATCTAGTCATTTTGACCACAAATCTAAGACACATTATCCAACTAGTTTTATGAATATTAAACTTGACAGTTTCACCTCCACCTATCTGAATTTTACATTTATCACTGGTTTGTGAACTCTGCTGGTAAACGCAATATTGTATGTTAACAACATGTAACTACTCCAATAGAGTACTACTGCAAGCCATTCATTCATATTAAAATATATTAAAATAGAATAAAATCTATATTTTAATAAACAGGTACATTTCTTACCCTTACTATAATTTGTGCTACATCAAAGTCTGAAACATCATCTAAAATTGGTTGGGTATTTTCTGGTCCATAAACAAGGCAGTTAAACAGGGTTTTAGAAAAGAAACCAGGTGAAGGACCACCATGAACCAAAGAAATGGCAAGCATTTTTCCAGCTTCATAGTAAAGATTCTCTTTCAGAGCTGTAAATACAGATGAAAATTCATTGAACATATTTATTTATTATTATAACCATCATTTTAAATGAATATATATATATAATTAAAAATAATCCCCAAATCTAAACATTAGACAAATGTAAAACAGTAATCATTCAACCTGGTACACAGGCCTTACTAAAATATGTAAAAAAAAAAAAAAATTTCTGAATATAAAGTAATAGTCTATCATAGGGGGAAAAAGACAAATAGAGAAAGTCTTCTAAAAAACTAAAATACTTATAATCCCACCATAATAATCACAGTACATTCTTTTGTGTAGTTTTTATCTGCATATAAACCTATACATAAACAATTTGAATTCTGCTTTTTTCCTCTTACTATTTTATATGATTTTCCTTATGCTATTCAAAATTACTCAATTTTAATTGGATGCATTAAGACTAACTTAGAGATGTACTACAAGGCAAGCCATTTCCCTATTATGGCTATTCTGGTTGAGTGACATTTTTTATTATATAAAACAATGTCATAAATAACATCTATTTACATATATTTGATTAGGATAAATTCTAACATCTGGTATTACTGGGTCAAAGGACATGAATATTTTTAAGTTCTTAATGTATGTCATTAAATTATCTGCCAAAACTACAGACTTTTTATTCCCAATAGTATATGCTACTTTACCATACCCTTACAGCTTTAAAGGTTTTCAAAATTGTTGGTGTTATACCACTGAACTACATCCTCAGCCCTTTTTATTTATTTTTGAATTTTTAGACATGGTCACTAAGTTGCCCTGGCTGGCCTTGATCTCAGATCCTCCTGCCACGGCTTCCAAGGTAGGTGGGATTACAGGAGTATATCACCACCACTTGTGGATGTGTACCAACTCGAATCCAGATTCTGTGACTTAAATTCATGCATTCTCCATGTAACAAAGTTTGAATTTACATTACTGATTATTTGAGAGTCTCCCCAACCCATCCTAATGGGGAATTAAACTCTCTATATAAACTATTGTAAAAATGTTTGTGGCAATGATGAAGTTCTATGGAAAATACAGAAGGAAATTATTTTTTTATTAATTGTTTTTTTAAAAATATATGACAGTGGAATGCATAACATATTACACATATGTAACATATGTAACATATAGAGCACAATTTTTCATATCTCTGGTTATATATAAAGTATATTCACACCAATTCATGTATTAATACATGTACTTTGGATAATGATGTTCATCACATTCCACCATCATTTCTAACCCCTACCCTCCTCCCTTCCCTTCCCACCCCTCTGCCCTATCTAGAGTTTGTCTACTCTACAGGAAGAAATTCAAATGGAAGGGAACAACTCTTCTCATTGTTTTTAAATTTCTTATTGTAGTAAGTCCTCACCAAAAAGAAAAGTATATACATAATTGTGTAAAAAGAAAATTCTTGGAAACAAAAAGCACATCAAAAAACGTAATATGTGGTCCAGAAAACTGCATTTAAATACAAATTCTATGCTGTAAAGAAATACGTCAAGTGCAAATTATAAGAGTTCAAATAATCATATATTCCATCTGACTACTATATTCAAATGAAATTCAAGTGAATGTATTCAAAGTTACACTCATTTATAAATTCATTTTAAGGATATTGCTATAAAGTATAGATATTCTTAAATCATGTTTCATCATAAGACTTACCTTTTCTTTTACTTGGGGTCCTGGGAATCAAACCCAGGGTCTTGTGCTTGCTAGACAAGTGCTCAATCATTGAGCTGTGTATCCCTAGCCCCAACAACATTTTTCACTCTTATCTCTTTCCTGTGATCATATTGGTAGTTTATTATTTTAAATTATAGTCAGATCACAATTAATGAATATTAATTCTAACTAGCATTTCACTTCTTATATCTGCTATATAAAATATGTATAAGAATAAATAAAATAATTACCTTGAGAATTTAGAGACAAGTTCTTTGATAAGGACCCTTCAAACAATGATGAGTTCTCAAGATGTTGCATCAAAAGACTCAAAAATTCCTGCTTTGATCCAGGAAGCTCTCTTGCAAACTTATCATTTTCATTAACAAATGTTATTTCAATTGCGTATGAAGGATTAAACTTTTGATTCCTGAATACATCTAAGGCACTATTCCATATATTGGCTTTGTTGATAAATAATCTTTTAGGTTTTTTTTTAATTTGGAATCCTAACTCTATCAGAATAGTCGAAATATCTCTTCTAAACTTGCTGCCTTGCCTATAAAAACATGAATTTAAACAAAGAGATAAGTATTTCAAAGTGTTTTATGTAAAACAGGAGTTATATTGACAATAAAACAAAAGAAAAATTTTAAATGGAAATTCTTTACTGAATGTGACCCAAAACCATAATAATGGCTGCTACTAGAACCAAAAACAGTTATTTGATAATCTTAGGTTTTAAATTATTGATTCCTCACCCCCATCTTCAACTAAATTAAAATAATTTATAAGAATGTTGTTAGATCATTATCTCAAATTTGACCAATCCAGCAGATTCAGGTTTTAGAGCTCAACTCTTACTTCCTGGTTAATGGCTAAAAGCAACTTAACTGTACCTTGTTTCATACTTGCTATATCTTAAAAAAAAAGAAAATGTAAGTTCTGCATATGTATGAGAAAACTATGGCTTTGAGAGATTACACAATGTATTTTAAACCATAAAGTTATAATCAATAATAAAGCTAATATTACAGAATTCACAATCCATTAAATGGTACCTTTTAGTCTAGACCAGTCATTCTCAAAGTGTGGTCCTTGATCACCTGGGAACTTGTTAGAAATGCAAATTATTGAGTCCCATAGCACATCTACACAATCATAATCTCTACTATTTTAACAATCCAGGTGAATTATATAAACCAGTTTAACCATTTTTTGCCTCAGTTGCTCCACTTGTAATTGGAATTAATGTATTCTATGCCCAAAAGTCACTTTTCTATATCTAAGTATAAAATTTTCCCATACCAAGAAATTTAATGTGCCATTGTGGTCCAGGCATTGCTTTTTCACTACCCCCCCCAAAGAATCCACTACTCATTAGTCCAAGTTGAAGAAAAATCAAAATTACACCTTCTTATAGTAGTTTGATTCCTTGCTCCCACCTGGATCAGTGATAATGTTGATGCTATTCTTCTAGAATATGACTGCAAGTGAAAGCAGGAGCAAGGAGTCAAGCTTCCCTGTTGTAACATATTTAGAAACCAGATATTAAAATTATTTAAAAATAATATGAACATCTTTTTACATGAAAAATATAACAAATGAGATAGCTGTTACAGTTGCAATAACAAAAGTGGAATTTTTAAACCAGTAATTCCTCAGTTTGGCAAATCCCTAATATTGTATCCATCTGGCAAATTGAATTATCAAATATTTTCATCAAGCTTAGCTACAAATGTTACTTTTCTACTTTCTTCCTGTTGGGTAAACCAAAGCTCTAAAAACTTTTGCCAAATTAACATAAATTTAAAAATCATTACTACAATTTAACAAATATCTGATGCAATATAAATTTGCCATTTAGTGGACATAGGAATTAATACAATAATACTTATAGGTATGTCTTAAACCTTCTAAAGGAAAGAGCTGACATTTAGACTTCTAGCATTGACAATGAATATATTAAGGAAACAATGATTACAGTATCCAATAAGCCAGCTCATGTTAAATAAGATTCCACCCTTTTCACAGAGTTACATTGTATGTTTCATATTTTAACTTCCTATTTTTATAATCAAATAACATTATAAGGACATTTTCCAGAACAGTGTTTTTCAAACTATCTTGAAAATGATCTATAATAAAAAATGTTTTACAATATGATTCAATATACAATAAATAAATGATTTCATACACATTCTTTCTACATGTAATATAATTTGACATATTTTGCATTCTATTCCATCCCATCCTATCCCATTTCATTTTTTTTTAAGATGATGGCTGCGTGTATTTCTTGATCAAATATTGGGTTCTGCAGTTTGAAAAATACTCTTCTAGACTATCATATGATCAGCTAACATCCTAAGTGTATATGCACTTCCTTTAATTTCTTTTTCCAAAAAGATTTTTATATTTTTCTCAAATTCAAAATACACACCTCAGCAGGTCTTTACGCTGAGCTCCAGGTGACTGTCTGGGTAACTTAGGTGATGACTCTTCCAACAAACAATCAGTAATTGCCACATTATTAGAGTTGGATAATGCATGTTTTTTTGCTTTTTGGAAATCTACAGATTTAAATTCCAATGTTAGCTTAAAAGAAATATAGGTGAAAATTTTCTAATAACATGCATTTAAACATTTTTATTCAAAATTACAAACTGTTACCTGAATTGTAGATAATACTTCTACATTCCAAACACTCCCAATTTTGTTCCCATGATCGTAGTGAGGAACAGGCTAAATGTGTTCCACTAGAACCACAACACTGACAGCGTTTTATTTCCCATTTGCTGAGGACATAAAGAAAAGCAGATGCATATGTTTTGATATTATCTTAATCTAGTTCCAACCACCAGCAGGTCTGCCCTCTGCCATACAGATACTAACCCTTTTATGAAAGAGGGAAAAACAGATTATCTTGCTTTGATACTATATTACTTTTTTCTAAAATATATTTTAAAATTTCATTTATTATGTTTGTAATCACCTTCTCTAAATATCCCCTGAACTTAAAACCCTAAGCTAGTATGAACATATATACATACAGGCACATGCACAAAGAATAGAAACATTAGAAAGGCTGTATAACTGAGGAAAAAAAGCATTTCCTCTTATATTTGATGACTTTGCTCACAAGAAGATTACTGTATCAGTATGTCTGATAAGGAAAAAACATTCAGTACATTTCAAGGTAAATATCTCCTAAAACTTGCTCAGATACTTCAGGTCTTGTGGAGCACAACAGGGTTTAGACTTTCTACCTGGCTTATATTCATATTCTCTCTCATCTTCTCCCTACCACTCCATGTTTCCCCACTATGCCATGTGACATGTGGCAGTTCATATTCATATTTACTTGTGGGTATGGGTGTGAACTGTGGTGTGAGGCTCCTTCCTCTTTGTATGGATAATAGTGTACAGAAACAGATATAAGCTTCTTGAGTGTGTGTAAATGTGGGTGGCAAGATGGGTAGCTAAATATACTCCCACTTCTGCTGTAGGTTTGGTCATAGCATCCCTCTCTGTGGGTTGGTGTGCAGGTGTGTATGCATGTGTCTCTCCTTCTTCCTCAAATGAGGAAGGTCTGACTCACTGATGAGTAGGAAGATGACAACTAACATGAATACATATTTCATTCAACAGGTCAACTTCTTACTGTTTATATGAAGAGCTTAATACAATTTTAGAAGACAGAACTATTGCTACCTTCATTGTCAAGAAGAGGAAATTTAAGCATAGAGGGATAAATAACTTGCCCAATCAAGGTCACACTGGTTAAGCCTCAGTCAGGTTTCCAACCCAGTTTACCTGGCTTCAGACCAATATTCTTATCTATTATACCAAGCTGATTTTTCATCAATACTGCCTTCCTTTCACTGGGATAAGAGGGATTAAGTTTAAAATGCAAGAGTTCAGTCAGCAGATATCTGTGTCCAAGGAGAAAAAGCAACATGTGATAACAATCTCAAAAAGATGCTGCTAAAAAGAAAAAGGATTGTGCTTTATAGCTACATGCAGAAAATGACATGCAGAAAACATATTGTACCAAGCACAATGAAGGAAATCTGTAGCCTTGAGGTGGAATCAGGAGTAGGAAGAATTGCTTAGGGTAAACTTTCCAATGTTGGTCAGACCTCAGCTAATTCTTCACAAATAAATAGTAGCTGATCCAGCCAAATCACTTTCCATGAGAAATAAGGCTCTACTCTACACTTCACTATGTTAAGGAAGACTATGTAACAGGAATAATAATGTACTAAAATTTCCTACATAAATTTCAATAAAACTCGATTTGTTGACATTTATCCTCACATAAAGAGACTCTTGATCTCTAGTGAAATACACAAGACACAAAATGATTGCTAAAAATAAAAGCAGCTATGTATTGACATTACAAAAGAGTAATCAATAAATTTCAAATGCCAAACCCATTTTATAATGACCCAAAAGAAACAGATTAATCTATCTAAATTACCCTCTAGAGTACTACTGTTCAACAGAAGCACAATGTAACCCAAGTATATAATTTAAAATTTTCTAGTAGCCTCATTTAAAAATGTAATTCAAAATAAGTAAAATTACTTCAAATGTTTTATTTGCAAAATACTATCATTTTCTTTAACATATTAATCAATACAAACTTAAATATAATTTTAAGTTTTTCTGTTCATATGATTATAGGTTGATTTGTGCCAACCCCTAAAATTCGTACTTTCAGGTAAGTTTTAACCCCCACTACCTCAGAATATGATTATATTTGAAGAAAAGGGCTATAAAGAGGTAATCAGAGTAAAATGAAGTCTGTAGTTAGGTACTAAAACAATGACAAATGCCATCATAAAAAAATGATTAGGACACAGCCAACAGAGAGATAACCATGAGAGGACACAGCTAGAAGAAAGTCATTTGTAAGCCATGGCCTCTGAAGAAGCCCAAACCTGTAATCACCTTGATCTTGTACTTCTAACTTTCAAAATTTTGAGAAAACAAATATCTGTTGTTTAAGTCACCCTGTCAGTCTGTGGTCTTTTGTTATGGCAGTCCTAGTGAACTAAATCTTTAGAGTGTATTTTAAACTTAAAGCATCCTCTCAATTTAGAACAGTAATATTTCAAAGGCTCAATAGCCACATATGGCTAATATCTAGTGTATGGAATGTTGTTTATCTAGGAAAAGGACCTTCATGAAAATATACCAGAGAAACAGGTTAGCTGTACTAAAAAAATTCCTCCATACGCAGATGTAAACATACTTTATCTCAAGTTAAAACATCAAACTCCCTAAAAGAGCAAAACTGTTTCACTAGCTTTCTCAGCTAAAGGTTTAAAGGAACCACTAAGCACAATTCAATTTCCAGAAATACCTATCGGGTGCATTATAGTCTCGCCCTTCTTTGCAACGACATCTTCGAACATCACAGTGCTCATAGTGCTGCAGAAGGTCTTGATAAGCATTTTCCTCTAATTCCCAAGATGCATCCCTATAAATGAAGCAAGATATAAAATATACTTTGACCTAAATGTTATATAAAAGGATTGGTAATAAATCTAAAAACCTTTCTCATACTTAGTAACAAGGATAAAAACCTGTTGTTTTTAGGATATCCTTTTTTCAGTATATAAATCCATCATGTCATTTAACCTATAATTAATCTCACAGTAAATTTTCAAACACTTAAGTGAAAAATTAAGCAGAAATTTTCTAAAACTTACATTTTTCTAATATTTCACTTCCCAATTTTAGTTTCAGGTTTACTATAATTACTTCTGGATTCATCTTTAAGCATTAAGAAAATTCTTCTCATTCATTTTAAAACCATTTTGATTCTCTTAGATAATTTATAAATACTGTTTCGAAGATGATTTGTGTATAAATTGATCAATCGGACAGTTGGAATACTAAAATGAGACTAAAAATTAGTAAATGACACATTTATGTCAAAGTCTCTTATAAGAAATAGCAATCTGAGAAGTAAGCTTTATATCTTGCCATTGGAAATGGCTACCCGTCCATGATCACTTAGTCAAACATAAATGATTATATCTAATGTTATTAAATCCTAAAGTTAAAACATTTAGAATAACTTTTTTGGGGGGTCAAAAAACTAACTATTACTTACTTTTCAGGAATGTGAATTCCCATTCTTAACATCTCTTCCTGAAAGGTGTCAGTATTACTGCATATTGTACATCTGAAGAAAAACACTCCTGCATTTATTGCTTGAACCTATAGTGGAAAATGGAAAATCCATTTTTAACAATTTAAGCCTGTTACCAGTTTATGAATTACATTATAGAATATGTGCTATTTTTCATTTTATATGTTATGAAAACATTTTCTATAACTAGTGGTTCTCAAAACTTATAAACTAAGCTATCCCATGGCTAAAATTTGGAGAGTCCCCGATTCCCAGGTCTAACGAATAGATGGTTCAGCTTTATATTCATCACCAATATTTTTCTCAATTTTTGTAGCCTAATGCATTTTCAGTTCCTAAATACTGTGTTGTTGTCCACACTGTGGGAAAACCAGTGAAAATCTTTAGCTACTTCATCCAGAAAGAAAGTTTAATTACATGTTATTCATAAATCATTACTGATTCTGTTTTTTTACTTATACCTCTTGAATTTTCTTCCCCAAATGGGGAAAGTATAAAACCTGTTACCAATGCTATAGCAAACACAAATAAAGAAGTCACATGGTATATTCAGAAGGAAACAGGAAGCTATAAGCCTATTAGGAAGAGTAGTCAGTCCCTAATAAAAAACCAGTCACACACATTCATTAAAAACAAAAATGTTAACTCATACTTTATAGATGAAAATACTATATTGTGAATCAAAAATAGAGACATAAAATGACTAAACTTCAAGGAGTTTTAGCAAGTACACAATACAGGTATACAACCATAATATTGTGTACAAGTGCTGATTTCTTAAAAACTTCATGGACAGAAAAATGAAAAAGTACCTAGTCTACAATGACAAAAGTATTACAGGGATAGTGAGGCCACAGCTGTTTTGAAGAATAGAGGTTTACTAGGAAAATAGGATAATAGATAGTCCAAGGATAGGGAATGGCATATATCAAGCCTCTGTGAAAAGACAGAGAACAAGTGATTAGGAAACTACAATTAATAATATATTTAGGGATTACATTCTGGTGAAGCTGAACTAAGTAATGAAGCCAGATGGGTAAATATAAACCAGAAGCAGAACAGTTAGTGTGAAGGAAAAAAGTAAGAGGAGCTCAGGTTCAGAGAACTAATAAATGGTACACTCAACATTGAACACATGAGAGGGAAGCAACAAGTTACCAAAATCTATGAACCTAAAGGAGCTTTAAGCAATTGCAGATACATCCTGAGATCTTACTAAATATAAGATATTTTATAAGAAAGTATTTGGAAGGGAGGGAAAAAAAATTCGATGACAGAGATATCCAAACTAATCAAGAATAGTGACAATTCCTAGCTACTAGAAGGCTATACATATAAGGCCGGGGGTGGGGGTGGTGGTGGGGTGGGAAGAGTGTGAGTTCTTATCAATGCCTTTGATTCTAACCTTTAATCTTTTCTCACAAAATTCCTACGTATAGCACTTGTTAGTGGTTTCAAATAATGATATTTGTTTAACAACATACAGCTATCTAGGCTATATTTCAATTGAGATTCTGGCACCAAAACGAAAAAGCCACTGGAGGTCTTTTAGAGAAAGTGACTCTAGAATTAGTCCTTAGTATGCGCTAATCAAGTAACAATGGCTTATTGATATTTATATCACAGACAAGTGTCTGTGAGGCTGTGATTATAAATTAATTTGCATAAAATAGCTCTACTTTTTTGTTAGGAATAGTATTTCTACTTTTCAATGACAATTAAAACTCAGTATTTTCAGTTTCACAATACCCCTACAAATACCAGGTCAAGTCGTAGACCCTCTCTCTGCTTCATTATTAACACATAAGTGAGGCAAATCTTATTTGTTTTGAATAATAACAGAAAATTAACAAGACACATTTGTTGGCAATTACATTTATTCAAATATAAACTGTTAAATTAGGAAAAATTACCTTTTAAAAATTCTCACATGTGAACCTCTTCCTCAATAGCTAAGGATAATACTTTATGATGTTGTTTATTAACTGCAGTCCCTGGGATGATTTTATGCACACTTTTTGCAACAATTACCAGAATTTCTAATATTTCCCTAATAAAATAGGCTCTGATGCAACTTTTTTTTTTGGGGGGGGGGGCTCAACCACTGAGCACATTCCCAACCCTATTCTGTATTTTATTTAGAGACAGGATTCTCACTGAATTGCTTAGTGCCTCATGGTTGCTGAGGCTGGCTTTGAACTCGAAATCCTCCTGCTTCAGCCATCTGAGCCGCTGGGATTACAGGCATGTACCACTGTACCTGGCTCTTATTTTCTTTGAATGATCTTTAAGTATAAAAGTTCAAGGACCATACAAAAAAAGTAAAAAGTATGAAATAGAAAATAGTCATCCAAGATCTACTAAAGTCCTTTGACTATGTTAGGACTTTTAAGATTTCATTGAAATATAAATAAATTTATACATCCTAATTGTAAGGAAAAAAAAAAGTTAAAACCAGACCTAGCTGGGTGGGGTGGTGCATACCTATCTTAGCTACTCGGGAGGCGAACTGCCTAGCATGTGCTAGGTCCTAGTTTCAACCCCAAGTACTACCAAAAAAAAAAAAAAAAAAAAAAAGGATTAAACTTAAATAAATCCTTTGTTATTTGGCATTGCATTATGTCTAACAGGTAGAACTTTCACACATGTATACTACATATTTAATATTATTAATAGTTGGGATCTTATTAAAATATTCATGAGTTTTCCTAAGCAAAGAAATAGTAAATTATGTTTAATGTTGTATGTGTGTGGGTGTTTGCAGTGCTGGACAAGGAACCTTGTGCAAGTGCTGTACCACTAAGCTACATCCCTAGCTCCAATGTCCAGTGTTTTATGATACTGTTTATTTGAAAAATAGTCAATGTGTTTGATGTACAAACTGACTTTCAAAGAATCAATATTTTCAATTCACCAACAGTAATCACTTTCCTGTCAAGGAGTTATGATAAAGAGTTTATTATAGTTAAAAAAAAAATTAAGTCCTCAGTATTACTTACTAGTAGCCAATTCCTGGTTTTCTAGCTTGAACATTTAAATGGAACTTAGGAATTAAAATTTGTGTTTTATTCATTGTGAAATACAAACTCCTTAGGTAAAAACAAAATTTTATAAGCAAAAATATATTAAAAGGTGGCATCTAAAGTATTTATTAAATGCTCACTGTACCCATAAATAGGAAAAATTTCATATGTATAATATGCTAGAAATTGAATGCTTTAGTTACTTTAAGAAGTACCAAGTAGGGATGGTTAGTTATGTGGCTCAGCAGTAGAAGTGTACTTGCCCAACGTCCACAAAGCATTGAGTTCAATCCCAAACATCTGCACGTTCCAATTCTAATTTAAAATTAAAATCAGCAAACAATAAAATTTTATATCATTCAGAGAAAGCTTATAAAACATATCTTACCTGTAAACAGTCTCTGTGAAACCAAGCATTCTTACAACAAGGACTTCGTAGTATGTTATAAGTAGGAACAGGCTCAATATATTCCAAACAAATGGTGCATGGTAAGGAATCTCTGTAATTATTGGATGCCATTATTTGAACAGGTCGATGTTTCCAACAAAATGACCTAAAATGTAAATATTTAAGAATAATATCTCATGAATTTTAAGACCCAACAATTTAAGAGAAAATTTGCTTGCATCTCTCTCATAAATAATCTGCAACAGACTAGAGCCTTGCAGTATAAAATTTGTCTCTATGACCTTTCAAAACAAAAATTTTTGGTGGTGAGATCTCATACAAAATTTCAGTAAAAAATGTTGTACTGAGAATTCTATGTAATATTACATATAAATAACGTATACTTTTGTCTCAACAAATAAGTATACATACTGTTAAACCCAACACTGTATACAATTAAAGGAGGCAGGAACTTACACTTAAAATATTTTAATCATATGAATTATGTAAATAATAATAACCTATTACTAATCTATTTCCACTTGTATTTTCTAAAATGTTGTTTTCTTACATAGTAACAGCCATTACATAGGTCAAAATATGAAGACTTAAAAAGAAATACCTAATTCCAAAATTTATAAAATATAAACGCTTGAAGTTATTCAGGAAGCAAATATTTTCAGGGGCATCCCAGGGCACAATATTTATTTTTTTGGACTCAACAAAATTTATATGCCTTCAATTTACTACTTCTTCTTTTTAAAAGAATTATCTTCTATACCACCTTTATTCCATTTATTTACTTTTATGTGGTGCTGAGAATCAAACCCAGGACCTCACATGTGCTAGGCAAGCACTTTACCACTGAGCTATAGTCCCAGCCCTTCAATTTACTTCTTGAGAAATATATATGGCCCTGTGAAAGAAAGTTGGACTACTAATTCTAAACACTGACATCAAAATCTAGAAAAATGTAAGGTAGAAATTTTTACTGAATATAAATAAATCTGAAGTTCAATATTATTTCCTAGAGTTGAAAGTTGCAGGTGACTATTGATCATCAGGCCCATTCTAAACATTGCTATTTTCAAGACTTAGCAGACAAAAATAATGCCATACGAGGGTGATATAGCTTATAAATATCTTTCATACACACCCAAACATATACAGCATGTACATATAAACTCAGTATGTACATTATGTACATGTAAAATTACAAAGTAATTTTAAGGGAATTATATTGTGATATTCATTTTCAACTATTCTTTAACATTCACATTTCATGTTTAACAGTTAAGTAACTCACGCAAAGTTGCCAGTAAACTGGAAAATACATTCTCTCTGAAGTCCACATGGGAAATGATAACTTCTTTTACATCGAGGTGCAACACATCCAATTGAAGCACCATTTTTCTTACAAACACAGCATTTCTAGAAGAAAACATGAAAACAGAGCCACAATATAAAAAAAAAAATTGAGTACTATAATATGATCAAGGTATTAGTGAATATTTCCTATGGGGAAATTGAAAATTATTTTCATCATAATGGTTGTAATGATAGTATATTTAAAAAATTTTTCTGAAATAATCTAAAGATATCAAAGACTCACTGCTATAAGGAAGAAGTCCCCTTTCCTTCCCACTTACTAAAACATTTTAAACTTACAGGTATTTGCCACCAAGCCTGGCTTAAAGTCATAAATTTCTAGTTCAGAAATTGATAGAAAAGACTTTGCAAGTATTGACAATTTTTATGGTATATAGTGTAATGAGTTAAATACTATAAACATAATAGGTACACATGAAAGTTGCAATAAAATCTTAATGGAAATTATAAAAATTTAAAAATTCCGAGAATAGGAAAATAATAATAAAGTTGAATTTGTAAAATACTAGCTAAAATTACTCTGTTCTAACCAAAATGAAGAAGCATTAGATACCTCTAGTGGGATGAACAGTGTTCTCCAAAAGGATGTTTAAGCTCCTATAATTTCAATCTTCTCATTCATTCTCTATCATTACTTCTACTCAGACCATAGGGAGACCTACAGTCCCTTTCCTTACATTTAGCAAGGTAGCAATCATATAGAAGATTCACAAATAATTTAATGGACAAGGGGTTAAAATTTAGAAAGCCTATCTTGGAGAATAGAAGGGGACACTCACTGAACATAAACATACAATGTCATATCAGGGTCACAAGAGTTATGGAGATCATAAATTATTTCATAGTTGTATAAATTTTAACCTCCACTCATTTCAACCTCTGCAATTGAGCTATAAGAAATAAAAAAAAAAATAAATGGTTGTCGTGATTCAGAATTAAATGTTTGTAGATCAGCAGGGATAGAACTATGGTCATATGCTGATTTAAGAGTGAGTAAAATAATGGGTAGGTTGAATAAGAAAGAGAAATCTGTATTGTCATATGAATTATTCAGGGTCAGTTAAATTCTCATTTGCAAAAATACCAATTGTTTATTAAAACTTACTATATTCAACAAAAATATACATTGAAACAAAATTAAAGTCGTTAAGTTTTTTTTTTCCCTCTCTCCCTTTATATCCTTTTAGTGGTACTGGTGACTGAATCCAAGATGTCCAACTGAATGACATCCCTAAGTTAAGACTGACCTACTTGCAATCCTCCTCTCTCAGCTTCCAGAGTACCTTGGATAAGAAGGGTGCGCCACCATGCCCAGATTAAAAAGTCATAAAGTTCTAGTGTAATGAGTAAAATAATTTACTTACCAGTTTAGATGCTCTATTCACTTCCTTCCTGATGTCTTCTATTAGAAAACCATAAACTCCCTCTTCTTCTTTACCTCTCTGCCAAATTCCACTTGACATCAACTATGAACATATTCAATGAGAAAATAAATTCCAAAAAACTAATTTGGATTAAAATCTATAATTTATTCTAATAAAAATGGACATAAATGACTCAAATTTCAAATATATACTCAAAATAACTATTTTTCCTGGCCAAAGTAAGAAGTTATTCACATCCTTTGATTTGGAAGACACTATATTAATAGTTCATATACCCAAACTGAACTCTAAAAGTATTTCAGGAACAACAACAACAAAAAAGATGGTAGGAAGGGAATGTATGAATATAGGTGAATGGAAAGGAAAGTGTGGGGGGGAGAACACCTAAAATTTAGTTTTAGAAAAAAGGAGTGGTAAATACAAAATACTGTAAATGAAATAATACATTGAAATCCATGGAGCCAATACAGATTATCAGTGCTATTTCAGGCTGACTTTAAACCTACTGGAATTCTGAATCATAAAAGGCATAGTTGTAGGGAAATCTATTGAATCAATCATTGATAACAAATGTTTCTCTTTTTAAAAATCTCATTTTAACTTCAAAGTTTAAATATGTTAAGGAAGCATGAATCAAAAAAAAGCATGGACTGGAAATATGAAATCCTGGCCTACAAACCAGGCTCTGTGCCTAACCTCCTGGAACCTCTAGGCAAGGAATTTAAAGTTGCTACCTTAACCATGTCTCTAAGTCTCTTTTGGTTCTAACATTCTATTTCCACTTGTAACATTACAATATTTCCCTGTTCAGAATGAAACAGAATCTTAAAAGGGTTAAACTTGGGGTCAATACTTCTTTTGAAGTATTATATTCATTTATAAGACAGACTCTAAGATAAATTTTGATATGATCAACTTAATTAAATAATTAAAAATGCTTCAGCAGAGCAAGTTTATAATTAGAAGTTTTCATCAATATAATGTTCTAAAAAATGTAAGTTTGTTTTCATTAATATAGTGTTCTGAAAAAAAAGTGATACATACTAAGATCTAGATATGAGCATATTTAGAATGCCAACTTCATGTTCTCTGAAGACACCGTATAAGGTGATTAGACCAGTGTTCAAGTATATTTAACAGACAGAGTACCTGAGACAGAAAAAACCTTAGTATTTAGAGGAGCACAAAAGAATACTTTAGATGGTTTTCCAAAGAAGCAGTTGAAGAATTTAGCCTAGATGGCGGTATGTTTAAAAATATGTCCATAAATAACTATTAATACTCCTTCCTTCAAGAGATGGAGCTTAATTCCTGTTCCTATGAGTATAGGGTATGACTTAATAATCACTTCTAACAAATACAATAAAGCAAAAGGGATAGAGACAGGTGATTGTGAAGACTAGGTAATATGACTGCATCTGGTTTGAGCCTCTCATCCCTTGCTTTGGGGAGGAACCAAATAACATACTGTGAATAGCCCTACTGAGACGCATAGGATGGTAAGGAGTTGGGGCCTCTTGTCAACAGCTAGGAGGAACTGTGGTCACAGGCACATGAGCCACTGTAGGTAGATTCTCTAGCTTAGTAAAATCTTCAGATGTAACTTGGCTGACATGATGATAAGTATCTCATGAGAGACTGTGAGTCAGAACTATCCAACTCAGCAGATATTAGATTCCTGACCCTCAGAAACTGTGATAATAAATGTTGGGGGAAAAAATGTTGGTTTAATCTGCTAAATTTCAGAATAATTTGTTAAATGATGATAGATAACTTACCTATTTATCAAATTCTAAGATATGTACAAATACAACCTTGGCATGCTAAGATATTAATGGCACCACTACCTTAAGGAAGAGATTCAGTGTGATGAGAAGTTGGCAGAGAGAAGAGGAAAAAGATCAGTTTTACTTTCTTTTGAGTGATCTAGTATACATTAACCTGTTTCCTTTTCCACTTTTGTTATACCTTTAGCCAGAACTTTTCCTTCTGGAATCTGTGAAATAAAATACTTTCCCTCTAATTCCCTGAACCCTCTTTTGAGACTTGTCACTAGTAAGTAAGGAAATAAGTGATAAAAAGAACCCTTCCCTTTACAGACCTAATCATTTTTTCCTTTTTTTCCCCTCCCAGTTAGACAAACAGGTAATGATAGATCTTTATATATACAACATAATTTCAGAGCCATAGAATTTGATATATTAAAAAGTACCATCTTAACACATAGAAACAATTTGTCCAGTTCTCAGAAATCAGTGTCAGAATCTAATTCTCATCAAATTTATAGAATTTAATTATAAATTGTACTCACCAAACAATAGTAATGTACAGTGAGATTCCACTTCTCATTTGTTTTCTTTTCACCATATTTATTAGGACAGTCATCATTTTTTCGACAGAAAACACAAGCTAATAATAAAAAAAGTAAACAGACAAAATATATTTTAACATTTCAAAATGATTCATAGAATTGGTGTTTCTCTCAGTTGATGTGTTAAATTCTTTTTATTTTAAATATTTATTTATTTTTGTTGTTGTTGTTGGACACAATACCTTTTTATTTTTATGTGGTGCTGAGGATCGAACCCAGGGCCTCGCACATGCTAGGTGAGTGCTCTACTGCTGAGCCACAAACCCAGCCCCTCCAGAACCTTGTTCCAAAATATATGTGATTTATGTGTTTTGAACTATATGGCAGCTCCCTGAGGGATGGGCTCAGATACTTATTTTTGTTTTTGCCTACCTCAGAACTTTTATAAGGTTAAAACAAAAATGCTAGCTGCAATAGCCAAGGACAGAAGATAATAGCTCTAAAGTAGCTGACAGACCAAAATGTCTAGGGAAAAAAAAAAAAAAAGGAGAGAGAGAGAGACTAGAAAAAAAAAAGTAAATATGGGTTAAATAAGGGATTTTTAAAAATTCCTATATATACAGGAGAATGCATGTGCATACCAATGGAGGTAATATAATTTCAAAAAAACATCAGAAACCCTAAACTTTTACCCTGGTTGATCTTTAGGTTTATACAAGCCTATATGAAAAACTGCAAGCTCTCAAATTGTAACCTAATTAATTTTATACCTTTAAGAACTAGAAAAAGAGGAGTAACTAAATCCAAAACGAAAGCAAGAAAGAATTAGAGAAAGAAAAAGGATTAAAACAGATATAAACAAAATAGGGAACAGAAAAACAATAGAATCAATAAATATAAAAGCTAGTTCTTTGAAAAGATCAACAAACTCCATAACTTTTAGCTAGACTGACAGAGAAAAGAGAAGAGTAAAAATTTACAACAAAACCAGTGATCAAATCAGTATAGAATAGAGATAGTAAATCAGTACAAAAGAATCCAGAAATAAACTCTTAACATCTATGAACAATTTATTTGTGATAAGGTTATCAAAGTTTAATGGGGAAAGAAATTTCCTCAGTAATTGGTGCTAAAACAATTGCACAGCCACATGTAAAATAATAAAGTTGAACCCCCACCTTATGCCATATCTAAAAATTGATTTCTCTATAGACCAAGGACCTAAACGTAAGGGCCCAAAATACAAAACTCTTAGAAAAGATGGGGTAAATTTTCATAACCTTGGATTTGGCAATAGTTCCTTATAATTCACATGACATGAAAAGCAGAAGTAACAAAAGCCTAGATAAATTAGACTTCATCAAAATTTAAATTTCTGTGCTCTTATCAAGAGAGTGAAAAATCACTCTATAAAATGGGAGAACATATTTGGGAAACATTTGTTAAGGGAGTATCTAGAATGTGTAAGAAAAACTCTTACAACCCAATAACAAAAACACAAACAACCCAATTTAAAAATGGGCAAAGGATCTTATCCCTATTTCTCCAAAGAAGACACACAAATGATCACTAAACACATTAAACATGCTTTATATCACTAGGCAGTCAACAGACAAAACCACAATAAAATAACACCTAACACACATAAAGAAAGCTAAAATCAAAATGTCAGAAAGGTACCACATGACACAGCCATTCCATTCCTGGGTATACAAGCCAAGAACTGAACACAGATGTTCAAGTGAATACTTGTGCACAGCAGTACTTTTCACAATAGCCAAAGTAAAAACAAACCTTAACTACAGTATTTCCATACAATAGAATATTATTTTGCAATTAAAAGCAAAGAGGTTCTGATATAAGTAACATCACAGATAAGCTAATAAATGACATTAAGCAAAAGAAATCATGCATAAAAAGACATTATATGATTTCGTCTACATAATGGAATACATTATACAGAGAAAAAGCAGATTAGTGTTGCAGTCATGGAAAATGAGAAGTGACTACCTAATGAGTAGTCTCCTTTATAGGTGATCTAGATCATGGTGATGGTTTCACAGCCTTGTGAACAAACTAAAATGTACCCTTTGGCTGGGTGTGGTAGTGCACAGCTTGTAAACCCAGCGGCTTGGGAAGCTGAGGCAGGAGGATCTTGGGTTCAAAGCAAGCCTCAGCAACTTAGTGAGGCCAGAAGAAACTCAGTGAGACACTGTCTCTAAATAAAATGCAAAAAAAAAAAAAAAAAAAAGGGCTGGGGATGTGGCTCAGTGCTTGACTGCCCCTTGGTTCAATCCCCATTACAAAAATAAAATAAAATGTACCCTTCAAAATAGTTCAAATAATGTACACACACACACACACACACAGAGAAAACTTGGAAAGTCAGAGAGATCTAAATTAAGACTTGGCTTCACACTCCCTGCTCCACCCCCACCCCACCACCATTATATATACTTATGGTATACAACATGATGTTTCAAAATATATATATTGTGGAATGGCTAATCATCATATACATTAGAGTTAACATACTTACTTACCATGTATTTGTAGTGAGAATCCTTGAACTCTACTTTCTTATTAACATTTGTGAGGTACTAGGTTCAATACCCAGCACCAGAGTGGGGGGAGGAAGATCAAATTAACCTAACTGAAATTTTGAATCACTTGACCAACATCTTTCCAATTGGTACCTTACCCACTAACCACTGCCCCTGGTAACTAACTTTCTACTCTGCTGTGTTGAGATCTATTTTTTCATATTCCACATCCAAGTGAGATCATGCAAAATATTGTCTTTCTGTGCCTGGCACATTTCACTACAGTACTTTATGACTCCATTTACTCATCTTAAAAATGAGGAAAACAGTCAGGTGTGATGGCGCATGCCTATAACTCCTGCATCTTGGGAGGCTGAAGCAACTTAGGCCCTAAGCAACTCAAGGAGATCCTGTCTCTAAATAAAAAATATAAACTAGGGCTGGGGATGTGGCTCAGTGGTTAAGTGCCTCTACATCCCATCAAAAAAGGACAACAATAGTATTTATCTCAAACTGTGTGTGTCCTTAATGAGGATAAAAAGGAACAATACACATAAATATAATTAAAAGGGCGTGGCACAAAGAAATGAATAAATGTCAGTACTATAATTACCAGTCTTTCTGTCTCATGTTTATCTTATATACCTTATGCAATTATTAAAATTCTATTAATATTACAATGAAACAAGTGGTAGTCTACTACCACTAGCTAAAGAGAAGAGGCTGAACATCTTAAGGTAGCAGATCCATACAAGATGGAGTTTGAATTAAAAACAAGGCATAACCTTCCATCTTCCCTAAATTCACACTAGACTATAACCTGACAAAGTAATAAACTTTTATTGTGTTAAACCATTAAGACTTCAGAGTTTACCTACTACAGCAGTTAGTGTTATTTACCTTGATAAATAAGTGTAATCAAGAATGGATGCATTGAAAAGTACTTTATTAACAGGCTATTCATAAAATAGATCCAGCAATTGAAAGAAACAGTACCAGCTAATATTTCATAATGTGAAATATCCTTACTATATGGCCCTCTGTAATTCTAGTTTAATATATCATAACTTAGAGCCCCTCAACATCTTTGCTCCCTTCCTCTCCATACAAAGAACCTGTTCACATTAACACCAGGCAAACTACCATTTGTTCATATCAGACACTTTACACACTAGTTAACTCTTCTATCCCTAATAGCTATACTTTTAGTTATAGTGTACAGGCTGCTATTAAGAGGAAGAGAAATACACAGAATTAGCAGAGACCATGTAGAAAGAACAGTCCTCATAAAGTAGCAGAGACCATAGAAGGGACCACAGTCCTTCTCACAAACTCTGTATTAAGGTGCATTTGCTATTGTGGATTTCCTTTGTTCCCATTTCTCTTGTCTTCTTTCTCCCAGTATGAAGGGCCTTGGATGCAATAGGTTTCAGACATGCTTTGTTGTTGTTGTTGTTGTTTTGATACCAGGGACTGAATTCAGGGGCACTTAACCACTGCCACATCCCCAGGCCTTTTTTGTATTTTATTTAGAGACAGGGTCTCACTGAGTTTCTTTAGGGCCTCACTAAGTTGCTGAGGCTCACTTTGAACTAGCAATCCTCCTGCCTCAGTCTCCCTAGCTGCTGGGATTACAGGTGTGCACCACTGCACCCAGCTCAGGAAAGTATTTTTATTAGAAAATCACTTTTGCATGTATTTGTACTTGCTGGTTTTTCAATGTTTAAAATTCAGTAAAATTGTTCTGACTTTATCATATTTATAATTAAGATTATCCTCTAAGATAGCAAATGATACTGGTTTCCATTATAATAACAGAATAAAGCTTCCTCCTTAAACGCATTCGTATAAGTAAAAAGTTAATCTTGGGAAAAATCAAGTTAGAAAAAGTAGGGACGAATTTGCATTTGGCAAATGAATGAAGGTATTACACAAATTATTAAAATTTCACAACTATTAGCATAATTGATAGAAGACTGGAGGCAGAAGGAAAGAAGAGAGTTCAGGGAAGTTTAGGAACCAATTTCCCTATTCCAAATGAGGTGGTCCACAGAAAATCTCTAAAATTGATGGTTGAGAAATTTAAGTGTAATATTTTTAGAGGGAATTTTAAAAAATCTAAAAAACTGGACGAGGGAGAAATAGTGGCAGAAGAATATAGAGTAACAATTTAGATGCTTCATCTCTCATGGTTGTAAGCCAACAGATACTATATATAACAAATATAAAACATATACAGACTACAAATAAAATTTGGTGAAAAAAATTGTTCTCTAATAGATTTGTTTGTGAAAATGAATACTCTTAATAATATATTTTAGTACATGGCCATAGAAAGTATGCATGCATCAAAAAAATCATTCCTATTAATTGGGCAGTATTCTAAAAAGATTTACTGTAAAGGAAATGTTTTAAATATAGTTACTTACCAAGCGTTTGTGAGTCACCAGGTTTATTTTCATTCATTTTACTAGGAAAAATAAGAACATACACCCAACTTAATTTTTGAAGTCTCAAATTAATCATTTAAATTAAATTTAGTTATGATTATGAATGAGTCACAATCATTTCTTACTCTAGTATAGTACTTAATTTCTTCACCTTAGCCCAAATAAGAACACTAGTTATCAGCAAGGATGACAGAGTCTGAAGACTGTTTTTAATTGAAGGGAATATTTAGTTATCAAAACACTTATGATGACTATTGATATCTGGTGGAAAGAGGTCAGAACTACAGGACATTTTCCAGTACACCAAGAAGTCCTCTACAACAAATAGTCTAGATTTTCAAATAACCTAGAGGCTCTGCTATACATAAATAGCAAGTCTTTCTCCACTCCCTCCCCCCATTAGGACTAAATCAACATTTGTAGACTGTAATGTCCATATAAATTTGTTTCTGTTCAAAATTTTACCAAGAATTGTTCACTGTTTTGAAAAAGAAAATCACATCATCAGTTTGTATTTGATTAGTATATAAAACAATCCTTTTATTAAGTTTATATTTGTGGCTGTTGCATTCAAGGTATTCAATATAGAGTTGTGAGCATCTGACTGCCTCATTACATTCTATAGTAGTGTTCAACTGCTCAAATACTTAAAGAAATTGAACTATCTTTTATTAAGCAAATAAAACTAGTTACAATTACTGAAATACAACTTTTTCCCTAAAAGATCAAAGGCCTGAAGAAGACATTTTAATAACATTAGTTTGACTTTACCAGAGGCATATGAACAGCTTACTGAAATTTTATTATGAGATTCAAGTTTAATAAGGTATGCAAAAGTTCTTGAAATTTAAATGAAAAAGAATAAACTGTAATGCTACTAGGTAAATAAATCTCATTTTATAGTTGCAGAATCAATGCACAGAAAGATAAACATCTGTCAAAGTTTATAGAAAGTAGAAATAGACCAACCCATAACTGAGTAGCTAGAGGATAATGTCCTACTACTATGCATGAAAATAAACTGATATCATTCTCTTACAATTTAGACTTCAGATTTCATACTGACTATAAGAACTGTTCTGAATTTAAATATGAATTTCTTATACAATGCTTTTGTGCTTTCATAAACAGTTATAGTCCAACTCTTCAAATCATACTGATCCCAAGACTAATATTTTGTTTTTTCCTTTTAAAAATTAAACTTCTATGTTACCAAGATTGCTATTTCTTAAGAAAATCCACAATTATTAAAGAAGGGTTAAAGAAGTAACCCTTTGTCTCCTGGATGGATATATATATAAATATATATATATATACACATTTATATTTTGATATGCACTAATGATTTTCTATAGATGATGGTACTTCTGGTGTTTGTACATGCTCATACAATGACTACAGACTGCCCTAACTGGTCAAGTTATTGAGGATCACAATCTACTACTTAGCAATGAAAAGATGCATCAGATGAATTTCACAGCCATTATGCTGAGCAAATGAAACTACACACTATTTAAATACATTTGATTTCATTCATATAAAGTTCTAAGACAGGCAAAGCAATGCCATTATGAAAAATATCAGAACAATGCTTGTAGGTAGGAAAATGACTGGAATGGAAAATAAGGAAATTTTCTGAAATATTTTTTGTTAGGAAACCCTAAGCAACTTGGATGCAGAGAAGAAATCTTGCTTTCCAACAGATGTACAGAATTTTAGATCAGGGCTTTTGGAACACATCATTTTATATATTTCGAGGAGACAAGACTCTGGGTCCACTCTGTAGTCCACAGCTGATGCTGACTCCTTTAAACACAGCCCTGGCTTGCTCTGAGCCTATCAAAACACTGCTTCATTTATATATTTTTTAAAAAAATTTTTTTAGTTGTAGATGGGTGTAATACCTTTATTTATTTATTTATTTTTATATGGCGCTGCATTTACATATTCTTTTTATTTTTCATTTTTTTAGTTGCAAATAGGAGCAACATCTTTAATTAATTATTTGTTTGTTTATTTAATGTAGTGCTGAGGATTGAACCAGTGCCTCATACATACTAGGCTCTACCATTTAGCCACAATCCCAGCCCTCTGCTTCATTTATATTTCATCTAAATGTTAATGCTCCAAAACCCTGTAAGAATGCTTTTTCTCCCCCTTTTTTGTGAAAAGCCCTATGGCTCCTCTGGTCTGTAATTTCACTCCAAGAGTCAGTAAACCTAATTTTATCAACTATAGGTTTACCCATATGGTTTTAAGTTGATTTGGCTCAGGCAAGATAATAAAGCAAATGGCAGAAAATAATTGTTGAATCCAGAGAAAGAGTATATAGGAGTTCCTTATACTATTCTTAAGATTTTCTCTAAGTTTGAAATTATAACAAAATTAAGTTACTCAAAAGTTGGATTTTCTAAAGACATTCTATAATTCGTACTTTTGACCAGTTCACGTGAGCCTTCTTCCCAATTCCCAGCATCTGAAATAAACAGATGACTGCAGCCTCACAACCCAAAAGTAATTTTGTGGGGTACCTGAAGTCAAATTTTCTCTCTTCCTAGAACATTTTAATGAAGTTCTGGGAAGTCACTGTCAAAAGGTATTCCATATGTCTTCCATTGCTTACCTCTACTTGGTCAGTGATATAGACTGATACTGCCTTCAGTAGGTAAAGCCTGATATCCCTTGCCTTGACTGTGAATGCACTTAGTGCTTGGTAACTTCTTCCACCAAAGTCTATGGCACAAATGACAATGTGTGATATGTCATAAATGGCATTGTGACTTCCTCCTTGCTCTATGAATCATAACCTGTGAAGGAAGCTAGCTGCAGTTGTCACAGAGCTTTCAAAATGTTCAATTTAGGAAGAAGGCCCATTTAGGAAGGCCCATTTAGGAAGAAACAGAGACCGCCTGACCCTCAACATAAGATGAGTGAGGGACATCTTAGAAGCAAACCTTTCGCCACAATCAAGTGTTCAAATGATTGCAGCCTAACACCTGGAGATTCATTTCATGGGGTATCTGATGTCAAATTCACTCTCTTCCACCTGGTGTAATCATTTGAATAAACAAACATCAGATCTTGCCCATTCAACATTTCCTAAAGTTCTAATCCAACTGATAATAGTAAAGCTGAAATAAAGGTTATATGAGCATAAAAAAAAAACCCACAAAAAAACCATAATGTGGTAGAGTCACATGTTTGATGAAAGAATTATTTGACTTTTAATTTAGCATTTTAAAAATAAATATTCCTAAAGGAATGATCTGATTTAAATCATTAATTAGAAAGGTTCAACTTAATTACTTTATGTAAAGTACATAAAATATACCTAAAGCAAAAAATGTTTTTTAAAAATTTTTATTTGTTCTTTTTAGTTATACATGACAGTAGAATGTGTTTTGACATATTATACATACATGGAGTATAACCTCCCATTCTTGTGGTTGTAAATGGTGTGGAGTTACACTGATATATAAACATAGGAAAGTTATGTCTGACTCATTCTTTTGTCTTTCCTATTCCCACCCCCATTCCCTTCCCTACCCTACACCTTGTTATGCATTAGCATCCACATATCAGAGAGAACATTTGGCCTTGGTTTTCTGGGACTGGCTTATTTCACTTAGCATGATATTCTCCGTTCCATTCATTTACCAGCAAATGCCATAATTTCATTCTTCTTTATAGCTGAGTAATATTCCATTGTGTATATATACCACATTTTCTTTATCCAGTCATCTGTTAAATGCCACCTAGGTTGGTTCCATAGTTTAAATATCATGAATTGAGCTGCTATAAACATTGATGTGGCTGCGTCACTGTAGCATGGTGATTTTAGGTCCTTTGGGTATAAACTGAGGAGTGGGATAACTGGGTCAAATGGTGGTGCTATTCCAAGTTTTCTGAGGAATCCCCATACTGCTTTCCATTGTGGCTGCACCAATTTGCAATCTCACCAGCAATGTATGAGCATACCCTTTTCCCCACACTCTTGCCAACATTTGTTACTTGTATTCTTGATAATTGCCATTCTTACTGGAGTGAGATGAAATATCAGTGTAGTTTTAATTTACATTTCTCTAATAGCTAGAGATGTTAAACATTTTTTCATATATTTGTTAACTGTATTTCTTTTCTGTGAAGTGTCTGTTCAGTTTCTTTTCCCATTATTGACTGGGTTATTTATTTTTGGGGGGTTAAGTTTGCAAAAAATATTTATGAAAAGGTCAAAGTCAGAGGTCTTGTACTATGATCCATGACTTCCAATAGAGTTATATCAATCAAGACAAGACTATACAGGCAGATTATAATAGAACATAATTAAAAAGGCCAGAAATAGATCCAGACAATTACTTTCCAACAAAGATATCACAATAATTCAATTGTGGAAATCAGAGTTTATTCAATAAATAGTACTGGAATAATTGAATATTTGGAGGAAAAATAAACACTGATTCTACATACTGAATGTAATTAAAAAATGAAACACACACACACAAAAAAAATTCTAAAAAAAGAAAAAGAGAAATACCTTTATGATCCCGTGTTTGGCAATGATTCCTTATCTAAGATAGACATACTGTGAACCATAAAAATAATAAAATTGATGAACTAAATGTCAAAATTAAAATTTCCGAATCAAAAGATACTGGCATGAAAATACAAAAGCAAGACACTTGGGAAGAAAACATTTGCAAAAAATGATAATAATACAACTCAATAAAAAGACATCACAATTAAGAAATAAAATGGACAAAAGATTGAACAGACACTTAAATATTAGTATCTTCTGCTTATCAAGGAACAGTGTTAAGAGAATGAGACAAGCTTCAGACTGAAAGTATCTGCAAATCATAATCTGAAAAAGGACTTCTATATATATTTTTGGAAAAAACTGTCAAAACTCAGTAATAAGGGCCATTAAAAAATGGCAGAGCCAGGAGCTCTGGTTGGGAGAGGTCTATATCTCCTCAGAAACATAAAAACTTGGCAAAAACTGTCTTAATTAAAAATGTCT